CTGCTGTGGCCATTCACCTTACACATCAGGTAATGAACAAGTAGCATTTTCACTGTCAAAGGTTTAATTATTGCAGTACACAGTTTTATTTCTTTCAAATATGTAACATGTTAAAAAAAACAGAGTGAATTTTTGATAAGTAAATACGATAAATCTTTTGAATAGTGACAGTTCTTCTGAGTTATGATCCTCAGTCTCAATCATGTTTTCAATTCAAATGTGACATCTCTCCTCCTTTCTTATAGATTTACACATTGGACATTAACAAACCAGAAGACTGTTGGAAGAAGTTTGTCTCAAACAGAAACCTTGGACTGTTGCTATTTTTAGGAATAGTTGCTGGCAATTTATGGAAAGAAAGACAAGAGACTTTGCTGCAAGACGAGGAAGCACCCAGATAAGTGAGATGATCAGCATAAATGTCATTTCATATCACTGGAACGTTCTACCAACATTGCACTGTCACAATTTAGATTTTTCTGAGTTTCAAGATTTCATGTGGGAGCAAAAAGGGGGAGTGTAAAATTCATGATTTTAACTCACAAAGAACAGTATTTAATACATGTCTTTTAACAATTTACATCATCTACTGTTGTTGGATATTATATAAATTAATGTGAAAAATAAAATACATTTTATGTGTTATTTAAACTAATAGTCCACTTTGATTCATTGTCATCCAGGCAGAGCTCGAGTATCTGCAAACATACAAAAAGTAACAGTAGGTTTTTATGAGAACAAATTGGTACTTATTGGCTACAACTCAAAGCTGAATTGAGCAATTTTCAACACTAGGGAGCAGAAAGAAGCCATCAGCTATTTAATAGATATTAACTGTTGTTTAACTTTGATCATTGTCCACAAACTGAGAAATATATGCATCCAATGCAGAAACCTCCCCAAATTTGATATACTGATGGTAGTAACCTCTGAAGCCCAGTTCATGTATATGCTTCCGTATGCTTCCATACCGTGAATAATGCAACAATTCAAGAGAAACTTAGATTAAGTAAATAATTTATTTTCCTATCAGGAAAATGTAGTGCCTTTTTGGTGCATTGGTGATTCAGTTGGCATCAGGACAGTGGAATAAATCAAAATATCACATCTTGAAACATGGCATTGATATCATTTTTAAGTATATGTTCAATCTTGCTCAAGCACACAGGAATTAAATATATTATCTTTCCCAAAATTGATATATTTTGGGTTTTGGTGTTTTTTTTAAGACTTTATTGGTATGTAATGTTCCAGCAAAACATGAATATTTGTTGACCATTATGCAGACAGCTTAATGCAGGTCTGTCTGTACTATATATACTTAGGTGTTCCCATTACACAGCCAGTGGTAATAAATAGAAGTGATAACAACACTTTGTATTGATGTAAACAACGCAAGTTACTAAAGGTCAAAGATAAAAAGACAGTGACAGCCCCTGATTGGTGACAATTTGTACCCTAACACTGATTAAATTTGCCCTAATGATCTTATAATAATACAGTAAGGCTACGGATACCACAAATATGGAGATAACAAAACAGAGAAACTTTCAATACTCTTAACCTGTTCAGCCAAAGTTAAACTCAAAATAACTGGTTGGTCCCATAATGGCATCCTAGTGTCATTTCAGTGATCAAACAAGTTTACATTTCTTCACTGGATGGGGCACAGGGCATAAATATGTTTTCTACACTTGAAGGAAAATGTATGACAATTTGTCTTTGGTATATCATCCTAGAGGTCATGTTCACTCCACCTTGAGAGAACTTAAGCAGGATTTGCAGCCTGCCTTATTGGATGCAAGGGCATCTGAGAAGGCACATTTTAACAATGTCCTCTCATTTTCACTGAGAGGGATTCTTAGAGGGCAAATATTTATGTTTTATCTACCATTAAGACATGTGAGTGCACATCAGCATTATGTTTTATCCACTTGAAGGACACACCATGAGCAGCTTTATTAAATTTCTCCACTGGAGGGGCATCTAAAAGTCAGATCATCATGCTTTCTCGCAGAGGACTTTTTTCTAATGTCACATGTAGCCTGGTCTACTGTAAGTGTGTGTGCTGGTTGCATTTATGAATATGACACACCAGCATGTTATTGATTATTTAAATCTCCTGACATACTGATTAGTTATGATCTAAAATAGTTTTCTGTATGCTTAAAGGGGTCAGCTGTTACACACAAAGCCCAGGTTCATACAGTCAAATAGTTTGGAGTAAAACAGCCGTTCGTGATAAATACTGAGCTCAATCGCAGTTGTTTAAAAAAAGACTTCCTCTTTCAGACGCTGAAAGTTTAATTTAGCTTCCTCTGGAGGTTTTTCTGTCCTTTTAAAATAACTGCTTTAAGTTTTTCTGTTTTCATTTCTCTGAAAAAATGTTTCAAGGATATTCCTGGGCTCAAGGAGCGTTGACTGACATCAGCCTCTCTAGTTACCACAAGATGGTGGCATTGCCTTAATTTTAGAGCTTTGGACAGAATTTGTAATTTGTATGTAAAATACCCCTTTTAGTAAATATTTTTGATAGACTGTCATCATAAATGCATGTTTTGTTAATAGTAATTCCTTACTACAAAGCAGTAAGAGATGTATATTTTTTATTGATATATTCTTTACCTTTTCTTTGAATTTTCTTGACATTTATAATTTTCAAAACAAATTTAAAAATATTATGGCAGAATTCCTGTTGGGTTTTGACTATAGGTGTAAGAGGATTTTTTGTAGTTCCTGACATGGTTAATATACATAAAAAATCCTCTATGGGGAGGCCTTTTGGAAGACATTACAGGGGCGCACCCAGACATCAAAGTTTTACAGTATGCCGAGGCCACGCCCTTTAATGTAGAATCGTGTAGATCGAAATTATAGATCATCGTCATGTCTAGAATACACTGATTGACTCTGGGGATGATCAGATGTACAGGGCCTGAAAAAGTTTGTCAAAATAAATAGCCTGTGAAACGCAAAAATTGGGCCATTATTTCGAAATTCAAAAAATGATGGCGGGATTCCTGTTGGGTTTTGACAATGGGTGCATATATAGATATACATAGAAATTGTCATGCATGTATGTAAATAAAACCTCTATGGGGAGGACTTTTTGTAAGGTTGAAAGGCGCGCTAAGACATCACAGTTTTACATTACACCATGGCCACGCCCTTTTATGTAGAATCATCATCATCAGAGCTTTCTGAAATAATTTCATGAGGGTGCACTGAGACATCAAAGTTTGACAGTACGCAGCTGACAGTAGATTATGTAGCATCTTGGTTTTTCAAAACTTAAGATCTTCAACATGTCTAGAAAACACTGATACTAAGTTGGTGATGATCGGATGAATGGTGCCTCAGGAAAGTACGTCCAAATAGGTAGCCTGTGAAACGCAAGATTTTGCCATTATTTCAAAATTCCAAGATGGTGGACTTCCTTTTGGGTTCTAACTATGGTTGCAATTGTGTAGAGCACAAGCTGATATCTTCAACATGTCTAGAACACACTGACACTGAGTTTGCGATGATCGGATGAACGAACTCGGGGGAGTTCTTTCAAATAGGTAATCTATAAAAAGTGAAATTTAGCAATTTTTTTTGGTTAAAGAAATGATGGCAGACTTCCTGTTGGGTTTTGACTGTAGGTGCCAGAGGGTTTTATGTAGGGCCTGACATGTTAATATACAAAAGAATTTCATGCATGTAGGTAAAAAAACCCTATGGGGAGGCCTTTTTGAAAATTTGAAAGGGGGCGCCACTGAGCCATTTAGCCACGCCCACTCAGTTAACCCATATGGAACTATTAAGTTTTCTACTGGGATAATGAAGTTTTGTGTTTAGGCCTTGAAAATAGTACGTCCTGTTTCATGGCGACACCTCATCTGTATGGTGACAGCATTTAAAGCAGACGTATGACCTTGAAAAGGTAGTATGGCCAAGGCCTTGGGATGGTCCACGCCGATTTTGACGAGGATACGATCAACTGTGTAGCAATGGCTAGTTCCAATGCAGAAGCAGTAACTTCCTGTTGTCAACAGGTGACGCTGTGACTATAAGCGTAAAATAACATTATGGATGTGTTCAGGGCGGGTCTCCCTCATGCATGAGTAGTTTGGTGGTGATTGACCCTTGCATGGCAGAGATATAGGCATTTAGTGATTCTGAAATTGGCCCAAAAAAAAAAGATGAAAGTTTGACATCCAATGATGTAGAATCATGTAGAGCACAAGCTGAGATGTTCAATGTGTGAAGAACACACTGACACTGAGTTGGTGATGATCGGATGAAGGCTCTCGGACTAGTTCGTTCAATAGGTCACGCAAAATCGTCTTAATTTTGAAATTCAACTGAAATTTGCGGACTTCCTTACATTTTAGCGTCATGGTCATGATGTAACTTTTTGTTTGTCTCACCAAGGTGCACAATTCTCACTATTTTTAATCCACATAGGTTAAGCGCAGTACCCTGGCTGACGTTTGGGGGCGCTGTGGAGCCACTTTCCGTCGTACGTGCACTAAATCACTTTCATACGTAAATAAATTTCTCGCGGGGGAGAATTTTGGGGGAAATTTTGGTGAGTTTTCATGCACGTTCAAGCCCTCAAAAATGGAAAATAGGGGAAAATAATTCCTTGGGTTACAATAGTGTCCTACGCACTTAGGTAGGCCTACATGCTTAAAAGCGCTGAGTGTTGTATCATACTTTCCCATGTCTGTTGCAGCTTTAGAGCCACATGCACTCATTATCACTGAGCACACCTTAATGTTAATTTGAGACTGGCATGCTCAGAGTGGACTTTGACGCTGACCTTTGCTCCTGTAAGAAATCAGAGAAACTTCTCTGCCACTCTCTTTTTTTTTTTTTTTTGTTTGTCTTCTTCTTAGTCAGTGGAGGGTGGGCACGTGAGAAAGTTCAGCAGCTGTTTGACCGTGGCTCCTCACCGCGTCACGCAGCATCTCCTCTCTGATTGGTCCGCTCTTGAACCACTGTGCAGTTGTATAAACTCTGCAGTTTGAAGGAGTTGGCAGAGCCTCCTGCAGGAATCGCATCAACCTCAGTGGGGGTAAACTGTGCTTGGGCGAGGGGTGGACAAGGCGTCACTTGTTGTTGTTGTTGTTGTTGTTGTTGTTGTTGCAGTCTTGTCTTGGAAAGTGATTTAGAGATGCAGAGCTGCGCCAAGTCCTGGGGGATCTTCTTGGCCAAGTCGGTGAATCCCAGCGCACCGTGCAGGCATCTGAGTGACAAGAGCCGCGTGGCTTGGAAACTTCAGAGCAGGATCCGAAACAGTGGGGCATCCGTAACAACAGCAGCCCGGGCTCTTCGGACGTCTGCGACCGTCTCCTCCAGACAGATAGAGAGGATTTTACCCAGACATGATGATTTTGCAGAGAGGCATATCGGTCCAGGTGAGAGGGAGAAGAGAGAAATGCTGGATGCTCTGGGACTTGAGGTAAGAGTTACTAATCACCCCCCTGAAATTGGACGCAAAACATGCTTTGTCATTGAAAGATATTCCACTATAAACACATTTTCTCTGAGCAGAATAAAGATTTTTTTTTTTTTGTGTTCTTTGCCTTTTTTTTTTTTTTTTTTTTTTTTCTTTTGTATTGAAATGTTTGTTTCCTCACAGACGATCGACCAGTTGATCGAAGACACAGTTCCAGCATCCATCCGCATACAGCGGAGTATGAAAATGGATGATCCAGTCTGTAAGTTTATCTTCATTATATTTAAAGCCTGTAAAGAAAATCCTCTATATGTGAAATGTAGGCTACATTATAATATGGAAAGGCGGCATGATAAACCTCTACAGGGTCATCTTAAAATGCTGTATGTAGGCTTTTCCCATCAAAATACAAGACATTCATCCCAGTCGTCTCCATCTATTCTGCATGTTGAATAAGGCGTTGAACGGAGACAAGTGAGTGGCTGAAATGTAGGTTGCACCTCTATTGTGTGCCGCGGAGCGCTCTCCCCTCTGTTAAGTCTTCCTTTGAACATATTAGGAGTTGTTTTTGCGAAACTCGGCGAGCGGCACCAATCTCCTGTTGGGAAGCCGATGCTCATAGCATGGCAACTGGAGTGTAAAGTTGAGCCCTGAGCTCCGGTCTGAAGTCCAGTTCAATCTGGTTACAGCGTTCACATTACATCACAGCCGAGGGGGTTCCTAATAAGGTGACTTCACTGTGTTTTGCATGGATTTGCTTGGATGTTTTTCCAGATGTTATTGTGTGTACATCAGAGCAGCATTTACACAGTAATCCCTTTTAACGTATTCTTTTTTTTTTTTTTTTGGTTTTATTCACTTATAAAATTCCAGCTATAGACGCAGGTTAATCTGAGGGGATTGGCAGGAAACAAAGAAACAGATATGGCAGTGAATTAGGCGAATTAGCCAAGGTAGCAGATATAAGTCCAGTCTCATTTCTGTCATCTTTCAGCTCTGGTGAAATATAAATATGTTGATGACTAACAAAACATGCAAATAGATGTATGCTGGGGGAGAGACTACTATGTGTAAAAGTAAACAGTGTAGAAATCAATGCTCAATATGTGTGTGTGTGTGTGTGTGTGTGTGTGTGTGCGCGCGCATCTTACTTGCTCACACAACTACATTTTAATTCCATCATTATTTAACTTGACCCAGCAGCCAACATATCTCAAAGATGGTGTTAAAAGTCTTTCCAAAAAGGAAAAGATAAATCTGTTTTTTGACTCTGAAGAAGTCGTAACGTTAGTCTTTTGCACCTTTTTATTAAATTATCCTTAAGTGATTCATGTGCTCCATGTGTTTTCTTTGGTTCCTGTCTTGAAGAAGGTATCCACTGATTTATTTGCTGTACACCTGAAGTCCTTCTCTGAGAGCACTTTTTTGTCTTCATTTGTGGAGTGGCTGAAGCGCAAAAGTTTCCTTCTACATGATCAGTATCCTATCACATCATTCAACCGATAAGCTGAAAGCATGTATTGTTTTGCCTTTTTGCAGGAAATACAAAACAAAACAAAACTATAAAGTAATAATGTACCTTGTATTTTAAAATGGATTAATTTTATTTTGATAGACTAATACATGCTTCAGCTCTTAATACAATGATACCATATCATGAAACCACTGAAAGATAATCAATGATTATATTTATTAACTAACTTGCAAAGATTTAAGATGTCCTTAGACACTACATGGTGATAAATAAACACTGACACTGCACTTCTGCATGACTCTTCAACCATAAACCAATACAACCGTAAAACCTGTCAGTCATCTTCAACACCAGAAGATCCAACACTTTGCAAAGGAGTTAGAAATCCTCGGGTACTTTGGCTTTTCCATATCACCTGTCCTTCTGATCTGCCCTCGCGTCAGCCCCTCCTCCCTGATTCTGTCATGTTTCATAATGCGACAAGCCATGCTGAAGGAACAAACTGAAGGCAGTGCTGGTTTTCTGCTTGTTCAGCTTTGGAGGGCTTCAGTTTGCAAAGCCGGCGAGGGATTCTCTCTCTTCAACAATAGACCTCCTGGATGGTTCTGAATCAGGCTTTTTTTTGCTGCCCCGCAGAACTCTGAGTCCATGGGAAAGCAGTCCTCCCTACTGACACAACTACACACACACGCACACAGAAGCACACACTAACAGCTTACCCTGAACCTGTTGACAATCCCTACTCACAGATTGTATCCACTATGCCACATTTTGCAAATTCACCAGCTTTTGCAAAACTAAACCTGATGAAGAAGCTGTAATAACTTGTATTCTAGCTGCAGTCCCTCTCACCGCCAGAGGCTCAGAGGTGTCTTTCTTTTCCTAAAACAGGAGTTGTCAGGACTCTTGATTCAGACGGGCGGTATTGTCCATTCCTTGGAGTTGCTAGGCAGCCAGGAAGGCCAGAGGAATCTGAGAGGCTGGTTGTGCATTGGCAGACATTCCTCATAGCACCGGGGAATGGGGCTAAATAACTGTCCATAAGACAAGAAACCATGGATTTAGTTCTCCTCTTAATGTGTTGACAGAAACATGTCATATGTGCATTGTGTTATCATCCTTAGTTTTTATTACGTTTTTTTTTCGTTTTGACCTTTTGCTGTCTTTTTTTTTTTAATCTCTGTGTCAAAAGCTCAAGTTGTGAGGATTTATTGTGTACTGTAAGTAGTGGCATGCTTCACTCATCTCCATTATCCTATTTGTTTTACAGCCAGCTTATCACATGAGACAAAATGCCTGTCATCTGATCTTGTTTGACAATAGTTTTCTGTGTTCTCTGATCTCTCAACCTGGGAGACTTTTTTTTAGGAATGTTTTGTTTAGTCATTCTTACTCCCCATGTAACAATAAAAAGACCAAGGTATAATAATGAGAATTAAAATGTTGTTTTTCAGGTGAGAATGAGATTTTGGAGTCTTTACAGAAGATTGCAGCACAGAACAAAGTATGGAGGTCCTACATCGGGATGGGCTACTACAACTGCTCAGTACCACCACCCATCCAGCGTAATCTCCTGGAGAATTCAGGCTGGTGAGTGCCCTCAGGTGACCCTTCCCCGGGGAAGACTTAATATAAATTTGAAAGGGCGCTGAGCTGGTTTACTTTCTAATTCCATCACAGATAACTAATCAGGTGTATTCAGAAGGTTTGGCACTTGTTTAAAGCTGTTATGCAGAATCAAATTCCCTTCATAGTAGGTCTTGTGACTTGACTAATAGGTAAACAGATGACGTGTTTCTCTCTTGCTTTCTGTTGAACAAGAGTTTCCTTCCCCCTTATCCAAATCAACCATCCTTACCCTTGTTTTCTCCAGAACCCCGGGGTCGGGGGAGTAGTACAATGCATTCCACTGCCCTGTCTCTACTCCTTGAATACCACCAGCTTTGTGCTATTGTTCTTGTGCCCAGACACTCAATTGATTTACTGTGTCGGTCATGTCCTCAGGGTGACTCAGTACACACCCTACCAACCCGAGGTCTCCCAGGGTCGCCTAGAGTCACTCCTCAACTACCAGACCATGATCTGTGACATCACAGGCATGCCTGTGGCCAACGCATCCTTGCTGGACGAGGGAACAGCCGCCGCTGAGGCCATGCAGCTCTGCCACAGGTGTTTACAAGCTTACTAACTTGAGACACACTTAATCTGTGAGGTGGAGAGAAATCTTTGCCACGCAGTTTAATTATTCACTGAGTTTAACTATTATTTCATGTTTACACATTACAGACAGAACAAAAAAAGGACATTCTACATTGACCCACGATGCCATCCTCAGACCATTGCTGTGGTGCAGACTAGAGCCAAGTATGTATTATACTCATGTGCAATCAATGTAGGAGCTTTCCTATCCAAGCACAGCTATGCACACATAAAGATATCGAGATGGGACAGGATAACTACAGGCAGCTTTTCTCACTACTAGTATCATTACCTTGCTGTGCAAAATGCTGTACACCCTTGACAAAGAAGGCCTCAAATGAGCATTATGAGACTGAATGTACAGATTCTGTCTAAAGAGGTCAAATAAGCCGGATTTGAAATGAAACCTAAAATAGAACTGTCTGAATACTGACAAACTGAGTGGAAGTGTGGGGGAACACATACAGAACCAGTCTTCATTCTCCAGAAAATAGCCATAAGAATTATAACTAACTCCAACTACAGAGAACCAACCAACCCACTCTTCATCAAACTGAAAACACTGAAACTCAAGGACCTGGTCAACTTTAAAACCATTCAAATCATGTACAAAGTTAAAGATGATCAGATACCAAACAGTATCCAAAAGTTTTTTTCAGAAGAGGGAACGTAAACCGAATCTCAGAGGAATATTTATGTAAAAAAAAAGAACAGCAGTAAGGACTACCATGAAACTACGCCGTATTACAACGAAGGGTGTTAATTTTATGGAACAGCTGCAGTGATGAAATGAAAACATGTAAAACATTAGGACAGTTTTAACACATTTTCAAGAATAACATATTTGACAAATATAAAATTGAACAGTCATTAAGAAAAATGGAATCAATATCAGTTGTAAGGTCTGTACCATCTACCAATTAATGTGTGTAATATATTATATTTGTTGCTTTTGTTACTTAGTTATCTGTATTCTTTGACTTTATGTTGTAAAGCTTAGCCTTGGATTAATTTATGAAGATAAAAGGGGTAGGACTTGATAAGTTATTGAACTTCATCCTACACCCTTTTCGAACATGGACTGGTTAAGGGGAAAAAAATCGAGCCACTATGCTTTGATTGCTGTTTATTTTGTTTGTAATGTATACTTTTATTTTATTTTTAAAACATGTTCGAAAATAAAATAAAACAAAATCAAATGACATAGATATATCTCAGAGATCAACAAAATGTTTTCACTCTCATGTTGCAGCTACATTGGAGTGAAAACTGTGCTGAAGCTGCCTCATGAGATGGACTTTAGTGGGAAGGATGTGAGCGGTGTGCTCTTCCAGTATCCAGACACTGATGGCAAGGTTGAAGACTTCACAGCCCTCGTGGACCGGGCACACAAAGGAGGGGTAAGAGAGCTTTAACAGCAAAAACAAGTACAAGCATAACCAATTGGCTATCCGCCTACTGTGAAATTTGGTGACTGAAAATGGCAAGTTGACTGGAAACATTTTAATAAACTGTCTTTTTTCTTATTGCCAGATGTAAATAAAAAAAAAAAAAAAAAAAAAAAAGGACTTAAGCTCCACTTAAAGCTCTATGCTGATGACACTGAGGTGTATTTACTGAGAAGAATTTCCTTTGTGCAGAGCTTGGATGTGAATAAACCACTATGGGTTGTACTGCTCCTCTAAAGGAATTGCTCATGGGACAGAAACGTATTTTTTAACACACTGACTTTATTATTCTCTGCTTCCCTCTCTGTCCAGGCTCTGGCTTGCTGTGCCACAGATCTTTTGGCTCTTTGTGTGCTGCGTCCTCCAGGTGAGTTTGGCGTTGACGTCGCTCTGGGCAGCTCCCAGAGGTTTGGGGTTCCGCTCTGTTATGGTGGCCCCCATGCTGCTTTCTTTGCTGTCAAGGACCGCCTGGTACGGATGATGCCAGGCAGAATGGTCGGAGTCACCAGGTAAGACGGAGGTTATTTATACGTAATGTATACGAGTTACTCAAAAAAAGTCCTTTAGGCAGTCTAAAGCATTTTTTATTTTTATTTCAGAGATGCAACTGGTAAGGAAGTGTATCGACTTGCTTTGCAAACCAGAGAGCAGCACATCCGGAGAGACAAAGCAACCAGCAACATCTGCACTGCACAGGTATACTTTTAACATACTATCATTTTTTTTTAAATAAATACTGAAATAATGGATGAATCGATGTTCCAGTGTTGAGGTTTTTTTCTTCATTTCAGATAATTTATTGTTTCAGGGGGTTATTTTGTCTAATCATTCTTGATCCCTATTGTTCAACCTCTGACTCCCAGGCTCTCCTGGCAAACATGGCTGCTATGTTCGCACTGTATCATGGTCCACAAGGACTCAAACACATCGCTGAGCGGACTCATAATGCTGCTCTAATTCTTGCAGAAGGTAAATATATATATATATATATATATGTATGTTTTGACCTGAAATCATTGGACTACATGTGACACACTGGTGACCAATGATTCCTTTATTCATTTTTTCTTTTTCATCCACTCCGAGAATGCCCTGTTTCTGTAGGTAACTGTACTCTTCATTTCAGGTCTAAAGCGAGCAGGACACAGGCTGCACAGTGACATGTTCTTCGACACTCTGAAGATCAACTGTAGCGTCGCAGCCAAAGACATCTATGAGAGAGCTGTGCAGAGAGAGATTAACCTGAGAGTCTACAACGAGGGAGTGGTGAGAACTTCTACCATTTAAAAAAAAAACAGTGAACAAAGATTATAGCCTTGAGTCAAAACATTGTAATCTATCTTTTGCCATTTATTCAAGCGAGCTGTTGTTTCACCTGAATATTGTTTAACATCTGAAACAGTCTGCAACGCAAGGCGAGAGGCTTAAATATCAGAGTCATTCTGTTGTTGAAATGTGTTTTCCACTTTCTCTGTGGACAGGTGGGTGTCTCTCTGGATGAGACAGTGACTGAAAGGGATTTGGATGACTTGCTCTGGGTCTTTGGCTGTGAATCCTCAGCTGTAAGTCGTGTGTAAATGTTCACTTCCTGGTGGTTACACTCTATCAGTTGTCATTGAAATGTATTCTGTAGCTGAATTCTTGTCTTTGCTTCAAGTTTGCAAAGTGATAGTTTTTGAAAGCTGCTTGAAAGTAACACGCCACTTTTCAGGAGCTGATAGCTGAGAAGATGGGCGAGCGGGTGAAGGGGATCATGGGAAGTCCTTTCAAGAGGACCAGCAAGTACCTGACCCATCAGGTCTTCAACAGGTTGGTACATTCAGTAAAGTGTCCACTCCTTAAGCACACAGGGTTGCATTATTCCAGTGATCACAAACTGCCCAGACAAGATACTTTTTCTGATTTCATATGTTTGGCATCAAATCTTTGAATCTCATGTTCCATTTTGATTGTGGCTGTACTTTATTATTACCATATTCCATAACTGATGAAGGGAAGTGTTCAGATTTTTCAGTACTGAATATATATTATGAAGCTGTGCTGTTTTTCTTCTGGTGTTACATTTCTTATGTTTGTTGCCTCTCAAAACATATAAATTAGAGCATGGCATGTGAAATACTCAGCTATTTCCTTTTTGGTTTGAAAAGTCCTTAAACATTACATTTCTCAGACAAGAGGAGTGCCAGTAACCCCTGCTGCTCTTCATAAACATGGAGCTCATGATCATCTTTATACCCCATTTATGCTTTCTTACAAAATCTGGCTTGTTTTATTGTAAAATATTAAGGATGTGCTAAAAGCAAGAATTCAGTGATGATTAAGGATTTAAAAAAAAAAGAAGTAAGTTTTCTCCGGTATAAATCATCAATTAGAGCCATGGTGGCAACACAGCCATGTCCCTTGGCTCCTTTTTGAGGAGCATATTATCTTTTATTAGTGTTGTAAAAACAGTCAAGTGTCCCAAGCTTCTAATGTCCCAAGTCCTCAGTTTACTTTCTGACATAATCATTGTGACATTAAAAAAAGAAAAAAAGAAAAGCGTGTTCAAACTTCCCACGATCAAACTCAGTGTGCAGGTTTCTGTTACATTTCATTATTGTTGTAAAATATCTGTCATTGTGATTAGAGAATATTACGCCCTTAAGTAATCCTACTGCTGTCCGATGAATCTTTGTCTCCAGTTATCACTCTGAAACCAACATTGTGCGATACATGAAGCGTCTGGAGAACAAGGACATCTCCCTGGTGCACAGCATGATCCCACTGGTCAGTAACACCTAAAGTCAAAGACAACATACTCAGATTGGCAAACAACTTTAACTCACATCTAACCATATCAGAGAGTTATGTTGTGTCACAATGTGTTTCTTCTTATTTAGGGCTCCTGCACGATGAAGCTGAACAGTTCCTCAGAGCTAATGGTAAGTATTTCATATCATGTTGTCTGAGTTACAACATGACAACCCCTCTTTCATGCTCAAGAGTTAAACCTTGCTTTCAGATATTTTGCATTCATTGTTCTCCTCGTCTTCTTTAAGCCAATCACCTGGAAGGAGTTTGCCAACATCCACCCCTTCGTGCCTCTTGATCAGGCTGACGGCTACCAGAAGCTGTTCAGACAGCTGGAGAGGGACCTCTGTGAGGTGACGGGCTACGACAACATCTCCTTCCAGCCAAACAGGTGAGAACAAACTGCTGAAGCCAAGACGTGCATATAACAGACCTGCACCTGGATGCTGCCACACATCAGGCGGCGGTGTTAACGACACCAAGGCATCGAGAAGTCATTAGTCCAAGATTTCTTTAACAGCTATAAAACATCGGGGAAAATGTTCCCGATAAAATAATGGTTCTTCCTTTTAGTTTTTTGTCTTCTTCAAGCAGCTCTGAAGAAGCTTTGAAGCTGCTTTAAAGCCCCTTTTTTCCTTTCCTTTTTCCTTTCCTTCCTCCAAATTATGAGAATATTCCACCATAAACATGGGGTTAATGTAAATCTTTACCCTCCTTATTTGTTCCTCGAACATTAACATTAAACCAATGTTATGTTTTTAAATAGATGAACTGTGAAGACAGTCAATCACTTTGGTCTCCCTTTCTTGGAAACACTAGACTGGAACTGTGATTTTCTCCTAATGTCTAACTTTTTTGTAGTTTATTTCAGACTAAACTCCGTATCTAGCACTCCATGCTTCATTTATTAGCTTTTAGCTGATAATGCACACACCCACCTCTGCTGTCTATCACCATTTATCAGCTGCCGAGACTTTACGATAGCACACCATGCTACGTTGGCCAAGAGTTATCATGCTGCTAGCTTTCCATTCTGCTGTAAGCAGTCCCCTTTTGGTAATGTATGCGCTGCTCTTTGAACTGTGCTTAGGTAAGGACATGTGTAGTTGTGTAGTACTCTCTTTGTGTTTGATTTGTGTTTCAGTGGAGCTCAGGGAGAATACGCCGGTCTGGCTGCCATAAAAGCCTACCTGAACTCAAAGGGAGAGAGTGCAAGAAGTGTAAGTGTGCTATCAAGAGACAACAGCCTTATTGGAACCCCTACCATGACATTTATGTTAAGGAGCTATTTGTAAGAGCTAACAGTATTAAAAAAAAAACTCTCTAGGTGTTATCTTATCGTGTTGCCTTACACAAATTGGTTTGATTGATTAGGCTTCAGGCTCCACATTATCCGCATTACAGAAAAATACTGTTAGGAAATACTCTGACAAGAAAACACTGTCATTCCTGGGAAAGACATATAAATCAGAATCTAGTAGCTGCTTGCTTAGCATAAAAGCTGAAATACTTAAAAAGTTAAAAAAAAAGAAAGGAAGTACTTGGTTTTATACAATCATGTGTGAGACTGTGTCTTTGCCCAGCACAGAGACTTTCTTGATACTCTGCAGTTAACCCCATGAGGACAGTAGCTCCTGTCCAGAAAATAGTTCCACACATAACCCAACATAAAACCAACAACTTGAAAAAGAAATGACCAATATCTTGTTGATTAAATAACTTTAAAGGTGCTAGTAACCAGATTATGTTACTACTGGAGAGAGTCAGGTTAGTCAGCACTTAAACTAGTCTAAGCTAACTCTTTCATGATTGCACATTAGAGTGCTAAAGCTAATCTTACTTTTGGCAACAACAATAAAAGTAAATAAGCTTTCCCCCCTCCTAAGATTTCAAAGGATCACTCTATTATTTTCCTTCTCATTTGTATTCATTTAAAGAAGTATTAGGAATGAAAGGAGCTAAACCATGTAAACCTGAAATAATCCTTAACATCAACAGAAGTTCAAATCGATGAAACTCAGCTGGTGAACCACCCTGATTTAAACTGAAACTCTCGAGACGATGAAAGCCCTTATTAAAGCAATCATTTCATTGCATTTCTCAAATGTATTATCTATTATTATGACCTTGGGTACATGGGTTGTATCTAAGAATGGTTTATCACCAGTAGTGTCTGATTTTGCTGGCTGCCTTCACCTTCAGGCTGACAGAGGAAGCACATACAGCCTGAGGGCCTGACAGTCAGGTTTATTGTTCCCAGGCTACAACAGGTCACTTTGACACCCACATAGTTATCCTGGTTAAAAATTCCTTAATTATCCTGACTTTCTTATTGCAGTAGCATGAGTACACAGAGAGATAAGGCTGATTAAATACTGGCTAACTAAAGATGATAACTTGTTTTTTTAATGGCTGCCTCACATCTTAGATAGTGACCTGATCTCTAGAAACAGTCAAGGTCCAAACTAACAACCGCATGTGCAAACAGAGGGGCTGAAATCGCTGTGATCCCACCATAGGCTCCCTGCTTTCAAGATTCCATATTTGGAGGTTTTAAGACTTTGCCGAGCCGGTGACTTGCAGTTCTGTGTTTTCCCAGTCAGTCATTTGTCAATGTTTCCCAATACACAGGACTAAGTGCCCAGTTTTCTTGTGTGACTAAGTTGCAAAATGTCAGAAGTGTCACCCTAATAAGGGATAAAATCAATTAGTGACCTGCTGGCAGGTTACATATTAGTGCCAGTGGTGGGCGTTGGCTGGATGAAAAATCAACCATGGAGAGTTAGTGCATTCCCTTTAAATAAATTAAGCAATCCCTGCTTTTCTTTTAACAATGAATACTCTTTTAAGTGATTTATTTTACAGTAAAGAAACCTAGTTTTTTTCCAAAGATAAAGTCAGACTCACTCAAAGACAAATTTTGATTAAATAGTTAGTAGTGTTAACAATCAGTCATGCAGTTGAACATGGGTTCATAATTCCTTTGGCTTTGATATATCACCTCCCTGTCATAACACATGAAGGTACTAGGCCTGCCATGTGGAGGACATTGGTTAAAAAAAAATGTTTTTATCAAACCTGCATAAAAAGGCTACAGCACCTCACAACTTCCTCACCCTCTATATTTCTATTTTTGGCTCCTCAAGGTATTTATTGTCCAAACTTTGCTGCTACAGTGATGTTTCGTTCTTTCACTGCAGGTCTGTCTGATCCCCAAATCAGCCCACGGCACCAACCCAGCCAGTGCTCAGATGGCTGGCATGAAGGTTCAGGTTGTGGAGGTGGACAAAGACGGCAACATTGACCTGGTACACCTCAAGGCCTTGGTGAGAGCAGGATTTTGATTTATTTTGTTTCATCCCTGTGGAAACAGCTGACTGTTAAGTTTAATAACCCTGATGACATCACCAGGTTGATCACTTGTTTGCTCAGAGACATTAAGTCTTAACCATCTTTGTTTATAGTTTGAAAACTGGAGTTAAAGTAAAAGTAGTTTTACGATGCTTTATTTTATTTGTCCGATCATATTTATCATTTCTCGTCTGTCCCCATCACTCCATAATGTGACCTTATTTCCTAAATCCTGTCCTCTCTTCCAGGTGGATAAACACAAGGCAAGTCTGGCAGCCATGATGATCACCTATCCGTCCACCTTTGGTGTGTTCGAGGAGTGTATCGGAGATATTTGTGCTCTTATTCACGAGAACGGTGGCCAGGTGTACCTGGATGGTGCTAACATGAATGCTCAGGTGAGAAAACTAGAACGGCAGTGAAATGTTCACTGAATGTCTGAATGTTACTCTTGTCTGTAAAAAAACTAAAAGCTAATAGGGTAAAGGTTTATAGATGTGTGTTATCATGCTGTAAATAGACAACCTTTGGTCCCTGTAATATGCAGATGGTAGATTTTACACCAACACTACCTCCACCAATCACTGACAGCCCTAGAGACCCTGCCCCCATCAACCTTTAAGATTTAATTGACTCCTCTTTTAGCAGGTTGTATCCAGTCACATGACTTTTGAATAGAGGGCAGATAAACTTAGAAAGAATATTAGATTATTTTATATATTGAAATGATTTTAAATAACATAACATAAATGGTCATTGCTCCATGTATATACTGTGGCCTTATTTTTTTTATGTGACCTCAGTCTGACTCCTCTCTCCAGCTCTGACTCACATTTCCATCCTTGTCTTCTGGCATCAACTCATGTCTTAACAAACTCTTTAAGAAAAAGTATTTATTAGTAGGGGTCCAACTCATAATGTTGTCACAACCTAACAGGAACAGTCTGAGTCTATGGGAGGCTAAACCAAGCACATTTGGTGAACTTTGGTCGTTTGCATTGCAGTCATTGCAGCTATTTTTCAAACAGGACTGAAGGGATCAAGTAAAACAATTAAAATATCCAGTACCTTCTTCTACGAAGAATAGACAACAACCCTATAAATAAAGCAAATACCCTTTAAGTTTTAAAAGGCATCCATCTGTGTTCTGTAATGTCAATGTGTGAGCTGTTCTGGACTCCAGATTAGCAATTTACATGGTGTGAAATTACAGGACAAATGTTGAATATAGTAGAACTTGGACCATCTACTAATTTCACACTTTCATGTAGCAGATTTAGTAATCTAGTTTGATTTAAAAATGGTTAGAAAATAGATGTATTTACCAGCTTCTGTGGATAAAATAAGGTTTAATGATCCTGTTTTCAGGTGGGTCTGTGTCGTCCTGGAGATTACGGCTCTGACGTGTCTCACCTCAATCTGCACAAAACCTTCTGCATCCCTCACGGTGGAGGAGGGCCCGGCATGGGGCCAATCGGAGTGTAAGTCCCAAGTTTGACTATTTCGGCCAACACTGTTAAAGAGGGCCTTCCAAACTTTTCAGCGCTAGTCCACAATTTGATAGTATTTTTTTTTTTTTAAAACACACAAGCCTGCATGTTTATTCTGTAAAAGCAAGCTAATGCAAAACATCAGCGTCATACTTTTCCTTCATTTGGAGTTTGAAACTTAACTGTTACTTGTTACAACATCCGTCTTCTTCAACAGGAAGGCCCATCTCGCACCATTCCTGCCGAGCCACCCGGTGGTTGCCATGCAATCCGTCAACACCGGCAGCTCGCTGGGCACCATCAGCGCCGCCCCCTGGGGCTCCAGCGCCATCCTGCCGATCTCCTGGGCTTACATCAAGGTTAGTACTGATCATCAGTGATGTTAATGTTGTTTTTATCCCCACAGGGCAACATTAAAATGTGCCAAAAAAGTTTTGCAAAGATACAATGAGTGACAAGGTTAAGGTAGTTTTTGGTTTATTTATTAAATCTGAAACTAAAGCAGATTGACTGAGGACGATGAGGAGGGGAAATATACAGCTGGTATCAAGATAAAACTCAAAAAGATCCCCTGAAGCGAAGTAGTCTAAGTTCTGTATTCAGGTTTGTTGAATCAACTGAGAAAATAAAATGTTACTGTTTTATTGAAGTTATCAAAATTCTACAACCTCTATCAAAGCATTGCTGCTTTTTGAAAGATCAAATCTCAAACATTTGTTTGATTAGTTTAACAAAAATATGAGTTGTGATCGTGATAATATAAAAACAATCTAACGTAAACTGATTCTTGACATTTGATCTGTACATATTTTCAGCCCTTAAAGCCTAATTTCCTCACTTTTAAGTCATTGAAGTAACCTGGCTTTAATATCAATTTCACGCCAGTCACACACAAACGGTAAATGAGTTTAAAACTCACTGTGAGTGAAGGTCAGGAGAATCATATAGTTGGTAGGTGTTTTCAGCAATGTGCATATTTCTGGCTTCTTTTGAAGCAGCTGGGCTTCCTCTCATTATCAAGACAAGTTTTCAGGACTCAGAAGGCAAGATCATTGCTAAGAGAAAGCAGATTTAATTTTTCTTAACTGGATGATTCATCTTTTTTAGTGAGGTTCTTTTTGTCACAAATGATGGCCAACTTTACTCTATTTAATCCAAGTGCCCACCAGACCTGTATCCAATCATTGTATTGAGTGTTTTTCAAAGGCTTGTGAGCCAGGGGGGGAAGCACACAACCAAAGCAGACAGAGACAAAACAAAAGAAAAACAAACAAACAGACAAAACAAGTCGAAAGTGTAAACATACGTATAATGGGCTTACATTGTTGGATTCTACTTTCCAGATTGCATAAAATGTCTGAGCAGAGCCTCAAAGAGAATATCTTATCTTCTCTAGATCCAGATGTTACGGAATCTCTTGGAAGGACAGAGACTGTGGAGAAGTAGGAGATACATTGAAAATTGCTAACAACATCAATTCTCTGCCCTGTGTTTAGATGATGGGCTCCAAAGGACTGCTTCACGCTACAGAGGTGGCCATCCTCAATGCCAACTACATGGCCAAGAGACTAGATGGTCACTACAAGGTGCTGTTCAGAGGCAGAAAAGGTATGGATGCAAAAACATCTCAGGGAGGTCTGAAGTCTATTTTCTCCGTTTTAAATGCACACAATGTTGTGAGAACAGACTTGTGGTCACACTGATCCTGTGTGAAGTGCTGAATCGGAAAATAAATAAAGTGACACGAAATGAGCTTCTGTTCAAATCTGAGAATGTTTTCCTTGATGTTTGTCTGGGCAGGTTTTGTCGCCCACGAATTCATTCTGGATGTGAGGCCATTCAAGAAGACGGCTAATATTGAGGCTGTGGACGTGGCCAAGAGGCTGCAGGATTATGGTCAGCTGTGGTTTTTTTTTATTTCTCCATGTAATTGTAATGCTAAATAGGCTGATTATGCTCTAGTCTCTGGTGTCGGTGTCTTGACATGGCACATTATTTTATTTTATTTCTTGTGTTCAGGTTTTCATGCTCCCACCATGTCATGGCCGGTCTCTGGCACCCTCATGATTGAGCCCACAGAGTCAGAGGACAAGGCAGAGATGGACCGGTTTTGTGACGCCCTGCTCGGTATCCGACAGGAGATTGCAGACATCGAGGAAGGAAGGATGGATTCCCGCATTAATCCGCTGAAGGTACACCACTCTTTTTGATTTGTTTTCTGTTTGTATGAGGTGTGGGGATGTATTGTAGCAGCAGATATTTGAGGTCTTTCTGTGTTTGTTGGCAGATGGCTCCTCACTCTCTGGCCTGCATCGCCTCCTCCACCTGGGACAGACCTTACTCGAGGGAGCACGCTGCTTTCCCCCTGGTGAGTGCGGTCTTTAACTTCTATTCACTGCTGCCACTTTTCTGCAGGCTGAAGAGGCTTAAAATCAGGAATTCGTTGTCTCTGTTGCCCTCTAGTGGCGAGAAATAAGAACAGCAACAAAACTAATTTTTATATTATTCCTGGGAAACTTATCGAAAAATAAAAACTTTACATAAAGCAGGTCAAATAATCGTTTTCAATGATGAGTTTCTGATTTCTGAGTTGATTTATTGAGTTTATAACAGCCTCTAATTCCTCATGATCATTTGTTTGGAGTCAAGTTTTGAACTTCTTAAAAGGTGAAAATGGGGTTTTAAATGTTAATACTTACTTAATGTGTCCCTTCTCATTCATTTTAGTCTAATGGTGCATTCATGTCTTGTTGGACACATCGGAAAAAACGACTTGAATGCCTGCTCAAGTTGGAGCAACTCATTTATTTTTAACAAGACACAAAGTTTAAAAGAAACAATGGAGAAGTATTTTTTTAGTAATATCATTAAGTTTAGCAATAATGGTGAATAGGTCACATTGGTGATGATCGGATTCAGAGAGGTCTTTTTTTTTTTAAACTGTTGTTTACAAAGTGTTTTTTTAAAGAAGGGTAACATGTGTCTACATCGTGGAAAAAACAGGCCGATTACAAAACCGTTCCACATTTATTCTTCCTTTCTTTCCAGCCTTTCATCAGGCCCGAGACCAAATTCTGGCCAAGCATCTCCAGGATCGATGATATCTACGGAGACCAGCACCTGGTGTGCACCTGCCCGCCCATGGAGGCCTACGAGTCTCCGTACGAGGAGAACAGAGCCTCCTCGTAGACGCTCCCCATGCTCCACATCATGTCTGGCCCGAGACCTCTAAAACCTCACAGACTCAACATCCATTTACTCAGTAAAAATAACGTGGGAGCTCAGAACTGTTCTAGGTAAAAGGTGATCCTCATACTTTATTTTTTTAGCTCAGTCAAACTGTTTTGACATTTGCTCACAAATATCTCAAAACATATATTCTCATGCTCCTAGTGTGTCGTGAAAATAGACAGTCTTTGCTGATATTCCCTTCTTCCAGCTTTGTCAAAGTCAGTTCGTTAGATCATTTAAGACTTGTCTGTTTTTTAATATTAGTGCCCAATAAATTGTGATTCATCCCCTCATGTAGAGCCTGTAGGAAACTTTTAACACAAATGGGTGTTAACGTCTGTGAGGTGGACATGGAGATCAGGCTTTATGGGGTTTCCCTCCTTGAACTTTTTCAATGGACCAAAAGGTGCTACTTTTACTAAGTAGGTGCACCCTACCAGACTGAGGCAGCTTTGTAACACATCTCAGAAAAACTGTGCTTTAAGCAGGGTACGGATCAATTTTAGACTCCACATCGAAAAAGCTCTCAGTGCCTCAGTTTCTGTCGTGTCAAACTGCCTCGACTCTCCCCCTTTTTTCCCCAAAACTTGACATCATAGGAGGTACTTTACTGTAGACCTTTTTTAAAACTATGTTATGTTTTCTGACAATGTTTTAATATTCATTGTGACATATGTTGTAAGAATAGGAGATAGACTTAATGTTAAATTAATTCTTTTCTAATCTACATTGTTGTCTTTAGAAATGTTTCTGTATTAAACGCTTGTCATTAAATTTGTTGATGTATGAAGACAAGTTTTGCAATGCTGCCACCTATTGGGGACTTCTATTTGTTTCATGAACTTCGTTGCCCAGCAAGTCGTAAAAATGAAAAATAATTGAAATCATAAGTTTCTCAAAGCTGGCACATTAAAATATACATTGTTCTGTTTGACTTTAAAGCTCAGATCTGAGAAAGATTTACTCTCAGAAGATGGAAAAACAGGCTTGTTATTTTTTACCAAAAACGAAGAGCTTGAGCGTTTTCCCCCATGAATATATTCTGAGTGAGGAATGCAACTGAAATAAAGATTGTGATACATTAGTGCACTTTAAACCCAGAGCAATCTGGAGAGAACATACTGCAGATTCCTAGAGAAACTACAAATATATTCATCCTAGCATCAGTGTTCTGTGGTTTTGTGCTCCCGCTGCTGAGTGTTTTAGCCATCTGTTGAGATCTGCATTTAGCTCTTTAGAAGAGTTTGAGGAAGATAAGATAAAGAAGAGAGATTTAAGCTTTCAAACAATCAGTGCTGTCATTTATTTGTTAAATTCATTTTAACGTCTACAACAACAGGTGATATGATAAACATTTCATGTTGAGACACACGTAACTATAATTCACTGAAAACATCAAAAAGACATCCTGAAGATAATGTGAGAAAACTTAAAAAAATAGAATGACTTGAAAAAGTAGATTTAACCAGAAGATAAAAAGGTGCAAGGTGTGATTGGTTTAACAGCACCAAGAACATCCTTTATTCTCTATTGCACATAAAGAAACTGTTTGATTGTACAGGGCTACACCCTGACTGTGACAACATGCATACTTATGAGGCCACAAGTCTTGTGTAACACAGCAGTAAAATCAGAAGGCTACACTTAACATGTCACCTGAGTTATTTGGGGGTGAGTCTGAGGCCCCTTCTGTCGGCCTGACCTACAGCGCTGGAGTTATTATCGACTCCTACAGCTTCCAAGAAAGTGGACAAATCAATAATAACCTTTTCCTAAAAAATGACAAGTTCCAATTTCTCTTACACAAATTGAGAAAACCAATGGAATCCCTCACCCTGCTGGAAACTTATTAAAAAAAAAAAATTAAAAAGAAAGAATAAAACCCTGAAAGTATTTCTTCTGATACTGCAGAAGAGGCAAAAGAGTTCAATGGTAAGTTATTTCAGAAACACGTCACTGTAAACAAATTCCTAAAAGAAAAATACTATCTATCTCTCTTTTAAGCCTGTCTGAATGAACCATGAATTACACATCTAATGATTGACAGAGACACATTTTGAATTTGATTTTAAAGCTAGGAAGCAGAGTTATCCTGAGGGATCCTAGTCCTTTGAGGGACTCTCATCACTTAAGCAACATTTGGGTGTGTTGTCTTATTATTTATTTTCAGTACTATAGTTCAACACACTAGGATAAGCACCTCTTGCTTGACCTGAATAATTTTTTTTATTGTAAAAAAAAAGGAAATGTTTGAGTCATGGAAGAAGTCAAAACTGGATTCAGAAATATTTTCCTTTTGCCACCGACTTCTGCACGTACTTTTTCTGACTTAAGGTTACATGTTGATTCAGCAGAGTCCTCCATATAAAAAGTGGCACTTTCTGTAGCTTATTCTTCTGTTTTGTTTGGCTCTGTTTTTGACTAAAACTGTATTTAAAAATCAAAAACACAAAATAAAGTCAGAGACACAGAGACACAGTACGAACGTTGGACTAACATTGTCGCTGTTAGTGTTTACAGGTTATTTTTTGGACAATAAAATTAAGACAATATTTTCTTGCTTGGCCTGCTGCACATGTGTGACACAGCTGTATCTATAGTTAGCTGTATTATTGTAATCTGATGGGCATGGCTGACAGGTCACCAATTCAGAAGCTTTTCCAGAACTGAAGAAAGTTTGGATTTGAAACACGGCTTCTGACAGTATTATGCAAGTTTCCTGTGTAAGTGTTACACATGTATAACAGCATGCTGTGGAAACTGTACAGGATCATACATTTCCTGGGAGAATCTTTCGGGCTTTAAGCGGCTGACATGGCCCTGACTGTACAAATGTACATGCTCATTCTCCTGTTGTGTCAATAACACCAGCAAAGTTAATCTATTTAAAACTTTTCTAGAATAGCTTTGAACTACTGGAGGAAAAAAAGAGTTCATAAAGCCTGACCTCCCATAAGCCAAAATAAAAGAAAACTGTCCACATAAAAAAAAAAAAGGGAGCGTTCCGTAATATGGCGTACATTAAGTAAAAAAAAAAAAAGGGTCAATCTTCTTTTGGTTGCAGATTAATAAAAGTTTTTTTCTACAAACGTTGATGCTCACATCAGATTGTATTGGAATAAAAACAGAAAAAGGGGGACAAAGGGGGACAAACAAAACTAATTTTGCTTGTATGAACGGTACAGTTTCTGGAGCGGTAGTTTTGTCATACAGCTTTCACTTTGTGATCAAGCTGCATTTCAACAGTGGCAGGGACTGAAAGGGTTAACAGCTTTCACCTTTAAGTCAAACCTACTAGCAGCTTGTATGTGTGAAACACTGACCAGGCCAACAAGGGGTATTTCTGGTTCGTTGCCTGTTATGTAACAGAATCTCACTCGACATTTCCCTCCTCCCGCTCGTTGTTGGTCACCTGATCAACTTCAGCTTCCAAGACTTTCCTCCTCTGGACAAGGCGGTCGACCAGGACGACAAACACTGCAGAAGAGATGAGGCAGAGGCCCGAGAGGTAGAAGGCAGTGCTGTAGTCGTGCGTCTGGTCCACCAGCCAGCCTGCACAAGACACAAGAAATGTGATTACATGATGCAACAAGGAATTAATAATTTACAGGGGTGTACATTTCCTTTAGGAGCATCTAGAACTGCAGAAAAGGGTCAGGGTTACAACCACTAAAGTCACCCTCATGCCGAAGTGAAATGAAAAGTCAGGGAATCCCTGAAGTCAGCCAGAGTACGTACAACATTTCACAGAAATCCATCTAGCTTACAAAAATCAATGTCTGCTTTTCTATGGGCAACTAACATGAAAAAGCCTCCCACACTGACTGCCTTGTGTTGCAGAGCTATGTTAACAATGTGGAGGTCAACATATATTTCTTTGTCAGAAAAACCGGCATCTTGCCCTCTCTAAACCAGGGTGTGCAGGTTTGGTTACTAACAATACGTTAGACTTTTGTAGCATTTTCCGGAGTACTTAAAGACACTTCACAAAGAAAAACAACAAACAAAACAGAGGAGAAATGCATTGCTGCATCAAGTATTTAAAGTTCACGGGAATCTTTTGCACTATGACAACAAATACTGAGTCAGAACCTTTATTAGATTTGAAATGACTCTTCATTAAACTTTGAGAAAATCAAAAGACACTTTTTTCATATTTTTGGAGGAATTCTCAAAAATGATAGTACAGGGATTTTTTTTTGTGCAGAACATTTGGCATAGTTCAGCATATGAATGTAGGTCCTTTGTTTTTGCACTACTGAGACAGGCTTCTGCGTTGGGTATCAGGGTGAGGAGTGCAACACGTGATCTTTCTTTAATCTATTGAATAATGCATTTAACCCCAAAAGTACTAAATACTGTTTTAGTATCAGTCTGAATTATTTTTTTCTCCAATCAATATCCTCAATGTGTTGGTTTCTGTTCCCTATTATTGTTGGTTTTGTAGTCCTAAAACAAGCCAAAAATAACATTTAAGTGACAAGAACATGACATGAGTTCACGTTTTCAGACTCCTCACCTGCAGCAGGTGGACCGACAAAGCCTCCGATGCTCCTGAAAAGCATGAAGAGCCCGAGCCCGTTGTCAAATCCCTCCAGCGTTACGATGTCCACGATGGAGGTGATGTGAATGGCCACCACACAACCAAACAGGAAGCCATAGAGCAGAGCAAAGACCACCATGGCCCAGAAGTTGTGGCTGACGGGCAGCAGCAGGAGCACCACACCCAGCAGAGTGACCACAATGGTGAGCAGCTGCAGGTTCCTCAAAGCCTCATGTTAGCTATCCACCCGCAGATCAGCCTCCCAGCCAGGTCTGCTAGGCTGAGGGTGGAGAGGATCAAGGCTGGCCAGTACTTATCCATCCCCAAGCTTTGGGCGAAGGGGACTAAAAACAGAGGAGGGATGAAAAAACCTGCAGCCGCAAAGATAGCAAACAGAATATAGAGGAAAAATTCAGGTTTCCTCATAAGCGAGCACTTGAAGAAAAACGTCCTTTTTTGTGGGAGCGCGACAGCATCGCCATCCAGGTCGTCTTTGTTTTCCCGCGGCGATCTCTGGACAGCGTCCAAGGGTCTCATGAGAGAGCCGCACACACACAGGTTGAGCTGAAGGCCTCCGATGATGAGTAAGGAGCCCTGCCAGGTGTACATCTCGATCAGCCACTGGAAGAAGGGGCTGAACATCACGGCAAAGACACACTCCCCTGAGCTGGCGATGGCGTAGGCGATGGGACGCCATCGCACAAAGTAGTGGCTCACCATACTGTTGGCCGGGATCCACGAGAAGGAAATGCCCAGACCTGTTGACAGAGCATAGAAACCTTCAACAACATACTCTCTCTTTGATAATGTAAACAGCCAAAAATGCAATGAAGAGGGAGGACAACAGGGTAAAAATAAACACATTACAGTGAAATAACATTGCAGCTTTGCGTCTTAATCCTTGCGGGTAGTTATCTCAGAAGCTTGAAATATCCACTAAACATCTCAAATATTTCATTTGAATGACAGTTTAAGAATAAGAATGAGAGAAGTAAAACATTTGAAAAAAAAAGGTTAAATACAAATTCACCCCAAAGCTGGGAACTTTTGCAGTTTGAAATTAAAAAAGAGAAGAAGGCCTCCTGGAGTTCAGCATTTCCTGAGTGTGTTACCTTGCAGTATGCCCATGGTGAGGTAGAGCCAGGGCAGACTGAGGTCCAGAGACGCCAGCAGCATCCCTGAAGAGGCCAGCAAGCCCCCCACTATGATGACCACTCTCTGGGAAAACTGTAGTGTCAGTGCACTGGCCAAAGGAGCTGTGATAAAAGGGGGAAAAAACAAACAACACAATAAAAACATCCAAGGACAAAGACAACTTAAACCTTCCAGCCGAAACCCAAAATCTCTACCTCCAAGGTGAAACGTGGCAATTGTGGTGGCCGTGACCCACGAGGTGGTACTGGTCGGGACCCCAAAGTGACTCTGGATGTCCAGGAAGAAGAGGCCAAAGTTCTTAAGAACTGCTGCAGTGAGGCCCATGGTGAGAAAGGCAGAGAAGACCACCACCCAGCCATAACCCCCATCAGGAGGTGCAGCCCCCCTGGACTTCATCTCCAGCTGCTGCTCTGCCGGCCGCACTCCTCAGTGTGCTGCTGAATGGTTGTCATGCAATAAACTGATAAGAGTCAAAGGTAAAAATGGAAATGAGCATGCAAAATGCACATCGTTGCATGGTTGCATGAAAGAGTGTCAAACAGGTTAAACAGTTGTTTCATTTAAGAAAGAATGCCTCGAGCATGTTGTTTGATTGGTATTAAAACATTGCCATTAAACCGGTCTATAGATTAAACACACCAACTGAGTTATACAACTCCTTGACTCCTGAGTTAGGCTGCAAGCCGTGACTTGACAGAGTGACAGCGAGCCTTCTGTTTTGGACCAAAAACTGTATTTAAAAAAAGACACATACACATAATTGAGTCAGGAACAGAGACTAACGCTCTGAAGATGGACAGAACTGAGGGACGACCTAACATTGTTGCTTTTAGTCTTTACATGGTAGTTTTTTTTTGACAATAAAATCAAGACAATGTGTGACACAGCTTTGGCTTTAATGAGCTGTATTACAGGAAGGTCACATTGTGGATTGTTAAACAGAATCCTTTTCCATGAGGCAAGACCAGCCTATGTTAACTTATCTCATATTTAATAATCTCCTTAAGTGTTTATTTAAACATTTTTTTAGTGTTCTTTTAATGTCTCGTTTTCCTTGTCATGGTGCTTTTGATGTCTTTTGTGAGGCACTTTGAATTGTTTGTTGCTAAAATGTGCTGTATAAATGAACCTGCCTTGCTTCCCTGTGAAATTCTCCAATGACACTAGTCAACAACAAAAGCACCAGTAACTACAGCCTCGAACAGACGTCTCCACTGAATAATTGAGCCTACAAAATTGAACATTCACAGTTAGGAAAGACATTTAGACAGCATGAACTGCCTTTTTTTAATTTTATTTACAGATGCTCCCTGTAGTTAGGCTTCCCTGTAGTCTTCAAATTAAGTCAATACAAATGTTACTGTAACGAGCTTGCCAAATTAGAGAGGTTAGAGAAGCGAGCTAGACTCTTCATTTTACTTAAAGTCAATACTTACAGTGCAATCTTATTATGAAGTTTCCGGTAATTAAAGCGACAAAATAGAAAACAAGCAATCATTAACATCGATGTTTGCGGTGTGATGTCGCCCATGTCTTCATATTTATCAACCCAGAGTTGTAGCCGGTCACCGCCCACGACCAGAAAGACTCATTTAAGCAGCTGTGAGATATTTCCATCATTGGCGGACCCGCCGACGTCCACCCGTCAAATGTCAAACCCGACTTCCAAAAGCCGGTCTGGGGGTTTGAGGTCTGGGCACGCAACATCCGGATTTCAAAGTAAAGTGTCGGAATTGACCATAATTTACCGTAACGGCATTTTATTTGAATTGAGTGATATTGTAAATTAGTTAATTGACCACAAATGCAAGTGAATTAGTTAAATAGAGCCTATTTTAAGAAAAGCAAATAGTTATGTTGAAGATAAAAGGTTAAGTTTGAGGATTCATCTCATATTTATGCAGGATGAAATACACTTTAAAATTATTAACGAGAATATAATAGTTAAATACTAAGATTTTATTAATGAATATACATAACTAAGCACAAGGAAGATCAAATTATCTTTTTTATTTATTATTTATTATTTATTAGTATGATCAAAAGACTCCTACCGTAGTCTCCCTCACTGGTAGAGTTGACGGTGTATTGTTTTATTAGTATTATTATAAAGTTATTCATTATTTTGTATATTTTAGGGATTTAGGTTTCTAGATTAACCTTAAACCTTGAATCCGGGCTGGTTTTGGTGTCACATTATCCTGTATTCACATCACACCAATTTATGCTTTTATTTTGTGTACTAATGGAGTCGGAGGATATTGTTGTAGTTTCAAATGGATATACAAAAATGCTCATCAGATTTTGTTTTGGAATACAAGTTTAATGTTGACAACACCTCTCACAATGAAAACAAAAAACAATAACAGATTTTTAAATCACCTTTGTTTGAACTTCATTAACACTGACATTTTTGCTGGCAGTTCAAATAGAGTATTTCACTGTATTTTCATTTTATAAAATTATAAAAAATTTCTGGACATATGTACACAAATATACTGTTTGTATATACACACATACATAGAAAACACTAAACACTATTTAGTCCATTTCTCTTCAGAAGAAGGGAAAAGGGATGATGAAAGCTAGCCCGGCTAGCTGTTTGTATGGACTCAACACCAACTCACACACTCTTCCTCTCTCTCTCTCACTAACACACAAATACACTTAAACACACACAGAGGACTTCTTTGACAGAAGTGTCTAGCTTCAGAACCTGGCAATATTCTCCTCAGTCTCCACAAACTGTTTAAAAAAAATAAAAATTAATCCAGTATGTTTGACAGAATGTTTTTTTTCAGCAACATTTACAGTCAATGGTTCCTTCCATCCAAGCTTCAATTTTCCATTCTGCTGTAATTGAATTAGCAGCAGATATGGCTTGTAAGTGCCTTCTTTAAAAGGCACCTTGGCAGTAGTCTTTCATCTGGTCCTAGATTTGAATCACCATTCTTCCAGCCACACGCTGGCACTAAGCAGAAGAACCTCTTTTTGGCCTTTGTCCCTTTGTCACAAACAAGACAATAACTTTAAGAGCGACTCGGTTGAAAAGGAGCGGGGCACTTGGTGATTTTTTTTTTTTTGTCTAAAACTCTTTACTGTCCCTGAACAAGTCGATGCGCAGCGCAAGCTCCTTGAAAGAAGGTCGCAATTCAGGGTCGTTATCCCAGCACTCCTCCATGATCTCATTCACCTGTGAGGAAAAGAGCGAGAAGAAAGATGATCAAATGTAAGTGGAATCTACTTAAAAAACAACAACAGATCAGTTAAGAGAGTTTACGTGCCCATACGTTGTAAATGACTGAGTTTGCATTAACATACAATATAAGTGTGAGCATATATGTTTAAAGTATGCAAGTGTACACGCATGTGAGTCGTGAATCCGATCAGGAAGAAAACAGTGACATGTTCATACCTCTGTGGGACATCCCAGAGGTTGAGGCAGCCTGCTGCCTGATCTGAGGAGCTCGATGAGGTGATAGACGATTAACTGTCCCTGCTTGTCATTTCCCATCATGGACATGAAAACCTGAGGAAGAGAATAATGACAGAGAAGACAAAGAGATATTTCAAAAAACTTTAGATTTAGAGAGAACCAAAATATGTTCTATGTTTGGATACAAATCTCAACAGGTAAATGTAGCACAATTTATGATCTCAAAACTCCATAATAAATCTTTTATGTTTGAGAAAACACAGAGACAAAAATGTGGCAGCTAATAAATGATGTATAGTTGTGTTGTCAGTCATGAACCACACTAGACTTCTGGCTCTGCTACCTCTTTGATATCAGAAATATCCACAGCTTACAAACAAACACAGAAAAATGTTCTATAATAAAGCATTCAGCAAAGAGGAGGTTACCTCCTTAAAACCTAATTAAGTTCACATCTGGAGGTGTGAAGGTTCAAAAACAGTAGGGAGAAAAAAGTTTCCTCCTCTGGAGTAATCATACAGTAAGCTGAATTCTGCAGGATTCAAAATCAAGGTTGTGTGTTCTTTTTTCCCCCAGATTATAACCCGCAGTCTTCTGACATCAGAATCATTACTTGGATGCGAGATGAAAATAAAGAGACATTTGCTTCAATCTGCTGCTTTGTTTGGGTGTGTGCATACAAGTGTTGAACAACTAAACACAAGGTTTAAAAGCGAGTGCATGCTTGTGTGTGAGGTGATGTCATCACATACTGCAGGAGGGCTGCTGTTCTTGTCACTGTGGGTGAAGAGCTCATAGAGCACCACTCCAAAGCTCCAGACATCTGAGGCCACAGAGAACTTGCTCTCAGTCAACGACTCGGGGGCATACCTACAAAAACAACAAACTTTGTATGACTGTATGTAAGAAAGTTATGGGATTATAGGTAGGTTGGGTCAGCTGTGGTTCAATGGTGGAGTCAGTTGTCTCTCATTTGGAAGCTTACAGTCAGTTTAACATGCTCCATAGACTTTAACTAGAGGTCATGAATAACAGTTTAGGTTAGAAGACAGAAAGATGAATGTACGATTTATATTACAAGAATTTTGCAATATGCATTGGTAATGTGTATTAGAAGAAAATATGATTGAAAGATTTACAAATATCAGAGCATTACCAAAATATAGGACTCTCTCCTGGCTCTTTGACCATGTAGTACTCTTTATCCTGAGGCAGAACTTTGGTGAGGCCAAAATCTCCGATCTTCACCCTCAGTTCGCTTTCCACGAGGATATTTCGCGTTGCCAAGTCTCTGTGGATATACCGCTTACTCGACAGGTATTCCATACCCTGTGGACACAAAGGATATGAAGACATGTTTTTTTTTTTCATCTATATTTCCAACGGTCAGCAGCCGCAGAAAGGATGTTAGTGAACCAGCAAAGGGAAGTTACCTTGCAGATCTGAGAAGTGTAATGCACAAGCTTCTTGTGGTCGATCCTCTCCCTGTTTTTCATGAGGTAATCTCGCAAGCTGCCAAAAGGCAGATATTCCATGATGAGGCGGAGATTTCGTCGCCCTGAGAAGGCAAAAATAGCTCATTCGTTATTTGTTGGACCTAAAGCCACAACAGCGTTGAACTTGCAAAGAATGTGAAAGTTTGAAAAATGATTTACAGCTCAAACTATCTTTGGTTACCCATAATAAGGTTGATACTGAGACGATGAAGCAAAAAAACTAGATATGAAGTTTCATGCTGCAAATTGCAAAACTTAAATGATATTCATCTAGTGGGACATTCCTTTTTAATACTCTTTTTATGAAATTACTGTTTAGTAAATGCAATTCTGTCATATCTAAGATTTTTTTTTGTTTATAAGAAAACCAAATTCTTGTTTTGCTTGTCAGGAAACTGCAGAGAATGACAGCTTTAGGCAGAATTTTGTGCTTAAGGTTGCAAATCTGTCGCGAAAAGTGTAGAGAAAGTGAAGATGGCAGTTTTGCTGATGTAACGTATTGACCTGAAGGAACCCAAACTCACAGGACACAAATGAAAACCCCCACTCTTCCTGTTTACTGATAACAAAAGCCTTTCATTTGATTAACTGTTTGAAAGAGACTTTGCATCGGAATGTGAAGGACAGGACGTCGTAAAAAAAAAAAAAAACCTTTTCGAGAATAAGCCTGTTATTACTTCGATACGTGTGAACAACTTCACAATAAACAATCCATGAAGACTGTTGAACAAACTGTCTTAACCAACATAATCCATTTCTGATATAAAAGAATTTCGGTTCAATCCCTGAATCGGATATATGTATTCATGACATCATGACTAACACTTTCATGCAAGTTAGATTCCGCTACGATCATCTATGACGAACTTAGATATTTAAGGAGTAAATCACATTAACTGATAAACTGTCCCTGAATCTTACGTGGAGCACTACTGCCCCCCTAGTGGCAAGAGCGCTGTACCGATCTGAGTTTCAGGACTGAGGAATTATGATATGTTAATATGTGATTTTGTCCTAGTTATAAATGTAGTATTTCAACATATGATTTTATATTTTTCATACTATATTAATGTGTTTTTGAATGTTGAATGGTATAATACTGATTTCATTCCCATACGGGCAGAAATCATCTAACTGTCTTCAGGTTGGACGTAATGCCTATTTCATTGCATATTTGTTTGAAATGTTTAATGTCTGAGATAATTCTACATACAAATGTTGACATGGTGATGTTCATATGATCAAAGTTCTTATTTATGCTCTTAATAAGTAAAAGACTCGGAGTGAATTAAATTAATGGTTAAACGTCGAAGGCGGGTTAGATATTAGGCCCCGCCCCCTCGCAAAAGTCATCTCCGGGAATAAGCAGCTCGTTTCTCAAGAGTTCGCTCTCTTCTAAAAACCCTCTCTTCAGAATTTCTTCTTCTTAAGTTTTTTTCACCCTCTTAGACGTCTCTTGTTAAATTCTTGTTTCGAACCACCTTGTTTCTTTAAGTTTTGCCGACGCGAAACTCTTTGAATTTAAGCCCGGACTCGTAGGACCTGCAGACCTCGACTCCAACTTAAATACCTCTTATTTTTCATGCACGCATTCTAAGGCTTTTCTCCTACAGCCTAAGATTGAGCGCCGCTTTCTTTTTTCCCTTTTTGAAGTATTGATCATCCATCTTCCAGAACATTATTTTTTTTCCTATTCTCACACTTGACTACAAGTGACCATTCAAGTCAAGTGAGGATCAACGATCGTTCAATCCTGACGAACGCTAATTAAGGCTCTTTGAGCCGCTGAGAGACGGACCCACGGACGACTGTTGGACCGCTGTGTTTTTCTTCAAACCCATCTCATTATCGACTCCGACCAGACCTGCTACAGCGGTTACCGTGGGCTACCGGCATTCCTGATCCGAAAGAACTCGACGGGAAGCCTTGGCACCATTCGGCGGAGTTTAATTGAACACTATGTCTTAGTAAGGAAAACGTTATGATTATGAGATTGGGATGTTGAGTCAAGCTTGTCGTATCCGAATCAAAGCCTCAGAGTCAACTTTCATCAAATTTATTAAGTTCCCTTTTTTTTTTACTTTCTTTCTCAAATCCCACTTCGTTAAATCCCTCAAACAATATCGCTTTTAAACTCCAAAACTGACATAAGGATCTCACCATGGCAACTTAGAAACAACACAATATTATTATTCACGTTATATCACTGTCGTAATTATATTCTTTGACTATTCATTTCCTTTAAAACATTTTTCTTTATTAAACTTCCATAAAAAAATTCAGTACTTTGTCTGTGTCATTTTATGGTTTTACTGCTTGAGAATTCACCCCAATGATATGAGACAGATTTATAGATTAATTAATTACTACAGGTAATATTAGTTTCCTTACTTAACAAGGATGGTGCCCTGAGTAATATATATATATTTTAAAAGTAGTTTCGCTACATTGATTTTAAAATCTCCTTCCAAATTAGGCACCATTTTCATCTGAGGAACATCAGTAGGTAGTTGTAAGAGTATCAACAACAGGTGAGCTGTACCTGCACTGTAGCAAACTCCTTTGTACTTGACGATGTTCTCGTGCTGCAGAGATTTGAGGATCTCGATCTCTCTCTCAAAGTCTCGTAAGTGCTCTGCAGTGCTGTGCTGGAGTTTCTTCACAGCCACCACCTCTCCGGTGTTGTCCTGAAGTGGGTCATATCGACACATCTCCACACTGCCAAAATTTCCCTTAAAGAGAAGAGAAAACCAACTTGAGTGAGCAAGTACAGCATTTTCTTAGTCTGGGATTTCAGGTTCGGTTCACTTTGGGGAAAAAAAGCTAATGGTGTATAAAGCCCTTGATTTTCAGAAAGGAAGCGTCTGCAAATAAAATTAGGTAACATTTCACAGGAGTTGTCCTCTAAGATATTAAATCTTTCCTCAAAAGTGATTTAGTTCAAATAATCAGTTTGACAAAATCTTAATTTCAGGTTACACTCTTAAAAGAAAGGTCTACATCTTGACAACATGCCCAACACAAAGTTTGCTCTCAAAAGCATAGTTTCTACACTTCTTGATACCTTGCCCAGCTGCTGTAAGAATATGAGGTGTCTCTCTTCAAACTGAGCAGGCTCTTGACTCTCAAAGCCGCCAGTCGCCCAGCCTGTGCCAGCCGTCCTGTTGGGCAGGATGTCACTGTCCACGATGAGCTCGTAGTCTGCAGAAATCACAGACAATTAGGAAAGAAACGGACCGCTTCAGGAATTAAGTTAGTCAACATTTAAACAATTGGATTTGTATTCTGGAGCTACCCAAGCTTCGCTCCTGTATTGGACTACTCTATTGAACAATCACTCAGGTATTAAATTAATGATGAGCCTGAGATCTAACTCCCAACAGAAAAACATCCTCAAAATGTTAAAAATGTCCTTTAAAAAAGCAGCTAAGAGTCGCCTGATGAAGGCAGAAGCTCAGTCTGTCTTTTCACTGAAGAGTTTCTCGGGACACCATGATCAACATGTGTGTGTCTGAAGACGTTTGAGATTCTACTCTGGTGTGACCTAGATTCACTGTTGGGACAATGTTAGCAGTGGTTTTGCTGGCCTGCTGATGGGTGTTGTTTTCACTAACCTGGTGTGAAGAGGCTGTGGAGGTCACGAATAATGGCACGAAATGAGGGTCTGAACGAGGGCTCGTAGTCCATGCAGCTGGTGATCAAATTAGCCAGCTCTGTCCACTTTGGAGCAGGAAGCTGGTGGTGGTCTTCATAGAACAGGGTTTTCTGAAAGATGAAATTAAGGGTTAAATAAGAGAATGAATTCTGGAAAATGGAAACATGCACATTTAGCCTTTCATCTTAATTAACCAAATATATCTTATCAATTTACTCCAGGTGCAAAAATATTCAGGGCTTCTTTGCACATCTGGATCAAGAATGTTTAATCCCTTAATGTGACAATGTAATGCCGGATTGTCACATTGATACGTACAAAATGATTGAATTACATTTTGCTTTGTTATTTTGAAAACTGGATGGGCAATTTTAAATTCAGCTGAAAGTATATATTTGGATTTCATGTTGCAGCAAAGGGAAAATAGTTTCAGCTTCATAACTCGTGTGTTAATTGATCTGCATGTTTCCACAGAGTTTGGACAACAACATGTAGTTGAGGTTTTGAGGCTTGACACAATGCAGAAGAATCTGCCTGCACAGGTATGTTACTCATGTAATATTTGTCTATGGTTTTCTTAAGACGCATAGCAGGTTACAGCAAAGCTGCATCAACAATTAGTTTTAACTGAACACAACCAGGATTAACAATATATATTCTTTTTCATGACACTCTGCCCTACCTTAGAGTTGTCAAGCGTTGCTAAAGGTTTCTCCCCACCACTGCAGATCTCCCATAGTGTGGTGCCAAAGCTCCACTTGTCTGCAGCCAGGCTCAGGTTGGCAGGGTCTTCGATACACTCAGGGGGCACCCACGGGATCCTCTCAATCAGAACTGATCAAAAACACAAACATTTCACTCGACCTGATTTCAAGTTTACATTTCTTCCCTAGAATTTCAGGCAGAAGATCAGCTGGTTCAACGAAGTCTCATGCACACATGGAAGATATTCCTGCAATGCATATTGCAAATGATTTAAAGAACACCAATTTTACCCATTTTAAATTAAACATTATTAAAAAAGGAAGTTATCCAATTCCATGTGAGATCCAGGACATACAAGCTTGTTGCAATGACATCCTTGTTGAACTGCTGCCCCCTGTTGATTAAAGAGATGTACTAAGGTTAAATGGAGGTAAAAAAATAAACTCACTTTCTCTCGGCAGGACCGTGATGCTGATGCCAGGGTCACTGAGTTTAATGAAGGGGGGGTTGCCGGCCCGTCGGTCATCCTCTCTGATCAGAAGAATGTTTTTAGCACAGACATTCCCGTGGACTAGATTCTTTTCTTCCTGCAGGTTCAGAAAGGGAGAAATTATTCCATTTCCATTTGTCCAATCATTCTTTGATGTTACATTTCATTCCCTTTATTTACACATGTATAATTTAACGTTCTGTTCAGTCAGTTCTATTACAAATAAGCTTGTCCTTAATATTTTCTCCTTTAATACCATTTGTGTTGACCTTAAATCAGAAATCAGTTAAAATTTTAAAAAAAAGAAGTGAACCTTCATTTGTGAGAAACACAAAAATGAATGTTAAATAATGTTTAAAAGGTAAATGTGTCAGTATACACAGACTCTTACCAAGAAGTTCATGGCCCAGGCCAGCTGCTTGGCCACCTCCAGCTTCCATAGGATGTTTATCAAGTTCTTGTTTTTCTTCAAGTAGGTGTCCAGAGACCCAAACTTCACAAGCTCCTGCACCATGATATCTATAAGAGCACATTTATTAGTTGGAGTTAAAAAATGACTGAAACATTTTGAAAACTACCAGCGTTCTAAAACATCAGCCAGCGAGTTATATTTATGAGCCACTTTGTAAGTAGAGTTAACCAAAGCCACTTCGGAGACAGTAGGATAGATGTGACACGCTTAAAGTCCCTGAAGAAAACTGATGACGATTGGATTCAATTTTTACATAATCTTCCACTGATGGATTTAAGTGCTTTCTTATTTTCTTAAGTTTACTTACTTCCACTGAACTTGCATCAACGTATTGCGTCACACTTTTTTGTCTTTTGTGTTGTGCAAAAAATAAGACAGCAGTCAAATGTTTTCTACAATAATTACACAGAAAGTATCTCAATGTCACCTTACATTGACTGTATCTCTAAAAGTGCAGTTCAGATAAAATGGACAGCTAAGGCAATCAGGACCAAATATTACACCCACATTCTTACTCAGGGTAACAAAAAAAGCTCACAGGAACTTAAAGGGAGAGAATTCCTAATCTACTACATAACCTAACTGATCACTGCCAGTTCTGATCATTATGATAGAAAGCTGCCTCAACAGTAGGCTACAGTCCAGAAGTCTTTCGAGGTGAAGAGTCGGTCAAAGAGCCTCTGGGTAGGGGACTGTAATCCTTCTCAAAATAGCCCACCATGCCCACGGTTTTAATCACTGGCTGCCCTGAGCCTGAGAGAGTCTTGTCAAGATTATAGTGTCACCAGTAAACTCTTGACATCATTACAACCTAATGACATAAGCTTATAATATAAGTCAAATGAATGCGTACTGTGAGTTGTGTGTGTGTGTGTGTGTGTGTGTGTGTGGACATACATTATTCGTACAGTGAGTGTCTCTCTGACGCTGACTTACTTTCTTCTCCGCAGACACACACGCCGTAGTTAAGGATCAGGTGTTTATGTGACAACTGGCTCATCATACTGGCAGCTTCAAAGAAAGACTGCAGGACAAAAGAAGACAAAAGATAAACACATGATTTGTGCACCTCTATAGGAAGAAAAAAAATTACATTATAAAAACTAGTTAGGTACAATTCATGTTGTTTTTTATTCATATGAGATATTTTCACTGTAGATACTGATAAGGTGCCCAAACAAATATTTCAACAGGTATTCCTAGATGCAATCATTCTCCCTTTTCATACTGGCAGCTATAATAAAATTCTACAATTCACTTAGCAGACGCTTTTATCCAAACATCAGAGAGTAAGTACAACACAAGCAAGGATCTAGAAAAAAGGGAACAATGTCAGTAAGAGCAAACAATCAGCTTTGAGTCCCGATTGGACACACAGGTGCTGACAGGCATTGCACAGAGGCAAAGCACAACATTGACGGCAGTTCTTGAGAGATAATCAGTATAGAAACCATCTTAAAAGTCATCGTTATCAAAAAAAACCCCATCGTCATTACCATCATCATCATCAAGTAATACAACAGGCATTGCACAGAGGCAAAGCACAACATTGACGGCAGTTCTTGAGAGCTCTAATCAGTATAGAAACCATCTTAAAAGTCATCGTTATCAAAAAAAACCCCATCGTCATTACCATCATCATCATCAATAGTAATACAACAAGCTTCTAATACATGTGAGGGAGAACACATCCACAACCTCAAAAGACTCAGTTTGACCAATCAAGTGGATGTCCTCCAAACGTTTAGCACAAAATTAAAGGGATTCAAATGTCCTGCCCAAAGTTAAATTTCAATCAGACCCAGAGTGTCAATATGTGAAATTTCTGTTAAAAAGTTTTGAATAATCTATCAATTGTGGATTTCTCTTCTAAAACAATCTCAAATACATTTTCAGCCTCTGTCTGAATGAATAACAATTTATGACTTCTCAGCCTTTGCACTGTAGTTCAGTTTGCTTAAGCTTTTCAAGCCTGAATGTAGGAGGACAGAGAAAATGCACAATCATAATCAAATATGCTTCTTCTTAACCAAATACTGATTGCTATTTAGAAATCAAATTTGAAAGAGCTTCAAAGCCTCAGACCTCAGAGTAATTCCTGTGGGCCTCGTGCAGGACTTTCATGACTACTTCAGTCTGGTGGACCAGTCCGTAATCTCCCAGCTCTTTACGGACCCCTTTGAAGATCTTTGTAAATGTCCCTTGACCTAAACTCTCCATCTGAAAAGAAGGACATTATTTCAGTTGTCATTCATTTTTTAACATAAAAGAATCCTAAACTTTCACCAGTGATTATTGTAGTGGATTTAAAGTATTTATTAAAGCAGGGAAGAACAGTAAGAATAGTATTTCAAAACTACAAGATAACTCAAGAGTGTTGTACATTTTCATGTACAGAATATTTGGATAAGTAAGACAAAGAGTATGAGACCGTCCAGAACCGGCAAACTGAGCTTACAAATTCCAGATCTTCCTTCCTGATCTTGTGAAACACCATCTGACTAATGTTGTGTCGATGTAGTGATGGAGATGGAGGCACTTCAGAGCCTTTGTTGCTCCTGCACACCAGGAGGCAAGACTTTTCTGTTTGAGAGAAGATAAGTGGAAATAGTCTTAGAAGCTGAGAAGGAGTTTCTGAGGTTTGAGATTTAAACGATAAATCGACGTGAGTTAGTAAAGCACTTTTCTGACTACTCAAATCGCTTTTTACACCGCATGTCACAGCTATCCATTCACACACTGATGGCAGAGGTTTTTATGTAAAGTGACCATCAGAAGTAACTAATCCCATTCATACACACTGATACGCTGCCGACGAAGCAATTCGGGGGTTGTGTCTCTTTCCCAAGGACACATCGAAATATGTGGCTGCAGAACCTTCAGGTTGAGAGACGACAGACTCTACCAACTGAGCCACAGCCCCCAATGTGTCATGTTGAAAGTCTGCATTTTTTTTTTTCATCATTTACAGGGAAAACAGATCACCACATTCAAAGTGTCTAGTTCATACAAATTGTGCTTCTGTCAGTCAATATTTACACTCTCACTCATTAACACTCTCAATCAAAGTTAAAGGCTGGACAGAGAACTGGCTTGATTCTTTGCCCTTTCAATTCCTCTTCGCCCTATGCAGTACAGTTTACTGCCATATTTAACGCAGAGTCTCAAAACAGCATCTCTGGGACACCTGTGTATATCTATAACATGCAACAAACTTTAATTTAACCGTTATTGAGCTAGAAGCAATGGTTGCATTTGACAACAGAGTTAAGCCCACTCCTATCGTTTTTTATCGTATACCATATCTCTTAAACTTATTCCAGCGTCTGCTTTACCTTTGGATTTAGGTGGACAGCACTTGCTGAATTGGAAAATGACGCTTTCAGAGCGCACAGTTTCCTTTTGGTAGCAGCTTAGTAGTTCCTGCAGGCTGCTGAAGTTTCTTTTGGTTCCACTGAGGTTAAACTCCCCACTTTCAGACCTGGTGATCTGACAGTGTTTGTATTCAACTGCATCATACACCTAGCACACACAAAGAGGAGAGCAGAGATCACAATGAAATCATTTGAGGTTCATTTAAGGAATCAATAAAAATTAGAATGCTATAACAAACAGGCAGACTTTAAGAGTCACTTAAATCCAGCTGGTGTCGTTTCAATGATGAAATCAGTTAGAAGGAATTTTAAGAAAGGAACTCCTTTCCGAAAAAGCGTTTTCCTGTATGTATGTTGCAACTCTAAAGGTGACGAAGTAAAACATAAACCAGGGTCTGGAGGCCTATAAAGAACGAAGCATTTATAAACACTCATTTAATATTTAGCCCTCAGGCATCAGTTTAATTTACTACCCTCTTAAGTCACTAAGGACAAAAATGTCAATGCCAAAAAACTGCTATAAAAATAGCAAATTGATATTTATTTTTCTGCATACATCTCTTAAACAACTTCAGCCCTGCTCAAAACTACTAAACATTCAATCATTTTTAGGAATTTAACCCTTTAAATGCCAGTTTGATTACTTGATGTCACTGTTGTTATTTAAGAAAAAAACACAACAATTTGTTATTTTCCATCTAAAAAATATTTGGTGGCTGGGGGATTTTTTTCAAATCAGTCTTGGATATTTCAAAGATTATCCAAAATATTGACTTTGATGCATTGTTAGTTTTTGTGTAGCATCAGATTTAAAATGTAGTTCCCGGTTTGGACATTGGAGGGCAAAAATGTCCAATTTACAAAAACTGCTATAAAAATAGAACAGATTAATATTTTTTTCTACTTTCGTTTTTTTTTTTTTTTTTGCATAAATCTCTTAATCAGCTTCAGCCCTGCTCAATTATAATGTGTAATTATCAGGAAGTTAACCCTTTAAATGCCAGATTGATTATATGATTCTGGCATTTAAAGGCTTAAATTCCTCAAAATGATTGAATGTTTGGTAGTTTTGAGTTGTTTAAGAGATGTATGCAAGAAAAAGTAGAAAAAAAACATCAATCTGTTCTATTTTTATAGCAGTTTTTTGTAAGTGGACATTTTTGTCCTTAATGACTTAAGAGGGTACTAAATATGTTTCACAGTGTTCTATTGATCTATTAAACAAGTCAAAATGTGCATTCCAAAATTTGTCAAGAGAGTTTTTCTTACAAAAAATGGTGCCTTATGCAATGACACAGACAAAATGATGGCCAGATGAAGAGGTAAAATTTGACCAAATGGACAAAAATGTCCATAGTGATGCATGCGGGTTAATACACAAGCTGCTGCTACAAACTAGGAGGTATTTTTGCCACATATGTATTGCAACAGTTAAGCACATTTTAAAGCAAAACTCTCCATGTTTGTCATTAAAATGAGAAAGGAGCTCAAATATAATGTACATATATTAAATAATAAACTATTATTTAATATATTCACACATGCACACAACTCCTGAAAATTTGCTAAAAGTCTCAGGGTGAGCTGCATGTCTGAACACAAACAGCCAAATGTTTCTCCCCAACTTTGTCAAAAAGGTTTCCTTACATCCCCCTGGTCAAATTTCCACAAGAATTTTGGCTCAACAAATGTGTGAACGCAGAAAGTAATATACTGGAAAATTCCCAGCATGCAAGTGGGAGGGTGTTATGACGTTTCACATCACGCGACTGGTGCGCGACCTGTGTGATCTTTGTGCATGTGTTGAAACAGCTTCACTTAGTTTTCTGCTCACAAGTATGTTCTTTCCAACTCTTTCATTGATACTGCAAAAGTGTCCAATTACACATAGCACTGATATAAAGGCAAAAACTGCCATCATAGCATCGCACTCTGTTGCTCGTCTGACATCTTGGCGTTTTATTTTTACTACATGGCTTGCCTCTTGAGACCCTCCCTCAGGGGCAGGCTGTCTGAAAATGTCAGGATATTTTCAGGAGCACGTACCGGTATGTAAAAATACTGTAAGCCTTAGTATGGCCTGTTGTCTTGTACATATTCATATATCAGATATCTACTGACTTCAATGACATTTTTTTTGTGATATTTATTTAATTTAGGCCAAGGTTTTCTGTTTGTCACAATTTTAAGCTGAAGTAAAAACTGTGTCAAGGCTTATTCATCCTCCTCTAATGTATTAATACACATTAAGATATGGCAGATACCAGCGCTGACTTTGACTTACCTGAACAGGGAAAGTCAGAAAATACTTGTTAAAGTCTTTTGGGCTACATCTCAAAATGTACAATCCTCGCTTGTTTCCACTTTTTTGAAGCCGGCTGATGGCAAACTCCATTCTGTAAAACAAAACACAACACGCAGTAACAGTTGAGGTCGGTGACTTACTTGTTTTATTTAAAAAGAGGTGCAGTTAAGTCGTAAACATTAGATATAGGAGTGTGAATAATGATACATATAACTCGTGGCTGTGCCAGTTTGCACCATTCGTCAAGCTTTGCTAATCACTGTTACAATAGAGTATGACTTCTGGTTTGACAGTGTTGGAAAATTAAATTAGCTTGTCAGACAAGTAAGCTGGTGAGGGCATAAGAAACTTGCATAAGATGGGAGAAAAGCGTCCCCAACATTTTGGTAATATCAAAAAGGGCTTGGTTTATTCTCCACTCACGAGATTGAGCCATGGCAATGTGAAGCGATGGCCTCCACAAGCCGAGGAGGAGCTACTTCTTTACAAAGGTAGTGATGTGCATCTGTTGTCAGGCGATAGTAGCCATCGATGAGGGACACAAAGGAGAGGGCTTCAGACAGGCTGGAGAATTCCAGCTCCTAAAATATAGAAAAACAACTGTTAGACATGGGAAGTAAGGGTTTGTACGGCGAAGGGGGATGTAAGGGTTCATGGCATGGTCAACTAACTACTATGAACTTTGTAACAGCACAGACTCTCCTCTCTGTGTTTCTCTTTTCCATTTCACACATGGATGTGACTGGCATTTAGGGCCAACGTCAGGGGGAGTTGATTCCAGAACGGTGGAACGGTGTTAAGCGTCCACAAGGTGTCGTAGGCCTAACTTGGCAAAACAAAGGTGAATTCACTTCTAGAGGATCTACCCATTGGGTGGTGGGAGTAGTGGCAGAGTAGATAGTGTCTGTGTGGTCTCTACTTTGAAGCTTGCATGAACAGAGCCTGGGTCTGTTGAAGCTGTCAATGCTATGTGGGTTATGCTGGCCACTAAGGACCATGTGGTAGGTTATGGACGGATCAGTGGGGCATAAGGGCATGGGGAGAAGGGTTTTCCTCCCTGAGGGTTTATCCTTTTCATTATGGCATAAGTATCTTGTGTTTTATTTCTAAGTGAACTTAACCACTCTCCAACTATCCCCAAACTCTGTATTATAAAACTCATGTTGCATAAAAAGCTTGCATGGGAACCTAATTCTTATAATTCTTTGCCCACTGCTGCTGAGATTTTCTTGTATCATGCAGAAATCCATTTCTGGTATTTCTTTGCCCACGGCTGTTGAGATTTTCCGGTTTCCTTGCTTGGTTACAACAGAGTAAAAGGCAGCTATCCAAAAATGAGGTTTACCAGAATCTTGCCATCTTGTTTGTTGATTGTGACCACACGGCTCTCTGCAGCACCCTCCTTGCTGGCCTGTTTGATGCTGATGTCAGTGACATCAGGAAAGTCACACAAGGTCGGTAGCTCCTGAATAAAGAAAATATAAAACAACATTTACCTGTGTGTCCCCAAAATCAGAATCGGGTTGATTTCCAAGTACAGTATATTAACACATACAAGGAATTTAACATACACTCAAATATGGTGGAAAACATAGTCCCACATCACAAGTCTGTGAAGTGAAGTTTGACTTAATCTGCATGCCCAGGAACACAAGGCTGTGATTCTGTTGGTCTTCCTTTTATCTTTGTACATTTTCAGGGAAGATTTATGGTCTCAGTGAATTAGAATGATCCTCTGTCTGATGAAGCCAACAGTTTTTTCTTTTTATGTTGGTGATCAAACATTAAATATATCACTGCAGAGAAATGTGAATAAAGAGAGTAAAGGTACTGTTACGAACCTGGCCAGTATCTTTTAATTTTTCTCTGCACCACTGGATGCCACTGTCCGCTGCCACCAGGATGATGAGCTGTCCACGGGACGGTTCCCGGACCTGGAAGGTCTCAGTATAGAAGGCCCTCTCCAGGGACTCCATGCTGATGAGGTACTTGAGCTTGAGGTCTCGTGCCGTGGTCCGACACTGACTGAACTGCTGGATGAAGCGCTTAAAGCGGAAGCGGATACGCTTGCGGGTCAGGAAGTTGCAGTCCTGGATCTGCGCTTTCACATCCTTTGGCAAGAAGGACTTATAGCTAGAGATAAGTTAGAGGGTAAATCTTTAAAGTTACAGCATAAAACTTAAGGCCCAAAAACTTCAAGCTTGGACTAACAAGACAAAAGTCACCAGGATTGGAAGTAAAAAACACTCTACAATACTCTTAGTTGTGCTAACTTATTCTCTGATCTAATACTTCGATAAGAAGCCTAAATACGCAATTGTTTAGTCATCATTAAAGTTCACGCATAGCTGTATTAGTTACACCTTTACTGCTAATGTGTGTTAAAGAGGATTGGTTTGGGTTCAAAAACAAACCAAAAAAGATTAGAAGAAAATGTGTCAATAATACCAAGCTAAATGAAAGCATTAGGAAAATCAGTTTTGTAACACTAACAGTAGCACCATTACATCAAAGAGTGCTAAGCAGGAGAGATATTTGCAGGCAAGTCTCCTCCAATAGAACCGTCTTTGTTCTTGTACCTTATAGTGTGGTAAATGTCGAGCGGTGATGTTTGTTTCTCCTTGGCCGTTCTGGTCATGTCCAGGACCGCCATGCCCAGGCACTCTTCCTGAGTCTCATGGGAGTTTGGGATCTTCACCAAACCATTTACAAAGTCAGTCCTCCACTGCACACAGAGAAGAACACAGTTGATAACATTAGTTCATGTGTTCAGGTATTTAGGTAGAGTAAGTATATTCAAAATAATGTGATTTCATATTGTCCTTAAAAACTTGGGAAAAGATCAAATGTTGTTAGTTGTTGAGAATTTAGTCAAAATCCATTGTTTATTTTCCTTGTCAAAATGAAGGCTTTTGATTTGTTCATGTTGTTCTACCAGTTAACCTCCAACTGGCGTGAGCAGAGACAAAGTTCCCTTTGAAAGTCATAACAGCCTGTCTTTATCGCGAACACAGCGACTCAGTTCTGAAATAGGGCGCAAGGAATTCAACATGTCCCTCACAAAGCAAAACACAAAATCTGTCCAGAGCCAATGCAAGCATGTCTAATGGCTTAATGGCTGCAAACACACTATGTGCAGCACCCTCAAATGACCCGCGCAGTGGTGCTTCCCCTCTCTTTTACACACACACACACAAAATAAATAAAAAACTCAAGCAGTCAGGAGCAGCAATGCAAAATTAAACATGTATTTCATTCATTATATAAAACCAGAGCAGACGTAGTGTAACCTCAATCATGAGTTTGCTCTGCTAACCAAAAAAGGAAACAAGACATATTGACCTCTAGGGCATTAGTAAAGTAGTAAATCTGTGAACCAATGTGGCATTCATTGCCAGATTAGCTAGAGAGGAAGCCCGAGGGAAGAAATGCAAAATGGGCTCATGCTAACACATCAATGATCTTCAGTGTTACATCGGGTCACATCTCTCTTTCAGGAAATATTGTGCACCGATAATAATGACTCCATACAGTTGCAGGGAGAAAATGGTTCCTAAACACACAACAGCACCTGTCCAAGTCATGTCTGCCAAAATCTAAAATGCCCACTTGTTTTAGAAGATCACATTTTGACACCATTATAAAAATACAGTACAATTTGTAGCCTGTTACTTTTTATAAATGTACATCCTAAGTAAAAACAAAAGGCTTGAGGTCAAAAAGTATCAGAAAACAGACCGAAATGATTGGTTAATGTGCTTTCTGCTGTACTGGACGGTTATCAAGATGTTTTGGCATCCTGACAAGTGACGTAACGGGTAGTAGTTGATACGTGACCCGCACAAATCATGAAAAAACAGAGGGTTGTTTTACTCTGAATCTGCATAAGTCCAGAGACAGGACATAAAAAATCTTTCTGAGAATTGTTGAATTATTATATGAGCAGGGATTAATTAGTGTGTATACACACTTGGAGAAATTCCCTGAAGAAATGTGAAAGTAGGAAAAGTGAAGAAAGTAAAGGCAAAGCCAGCGCACTGTTACTCTTTTTCCAGCCTGACGTGAAGGACTCTTTACACAAGGCTGTACTGTATACTGGTATACTGTATCAAACAGAACTTCCACTTTGGATGCTTGATCAACATGTTGTCATCTATTATGCCAATGGCAATGGATAGCTTCTTCTTGTGATATCAATCTGTTGCATTACATAACTAACTTAGACGTTCATCTGCCCATATTACACAAACACAGTTATGCAGCTGTGTGCTGAGTTCAGAACTTTGTTTTCCTCTGCCTCAAACAAATCCAGAGCAGATGCAGATTTGTGTATAATAGTCTATGAGGGCTGTCAAAGAATATTGAAAATTCAAATATATAATCGAATTTCAAAATTAAAAGAACATTCTGATGTGGAAATTAATATTCAGGGGAAAATATACCGCTTGGACAAATGCAATCCTATCCTAATAATTACACACATTTATTAACTACAGGTACATGAGATTCTTAAACCTTTTAAAGTGACCACAGAAACGTTGTTCTACCTTTAATTCACGTTCTGCTCACTAACAAGCAAACACCAAATGAACCACGTGCGGTGACGGAGATGAAGAAAAGAAATCACTGCTGATCTGGAGCAGCGGTAAAGTGAGGACGCGGTATAGTGAGGAAAAGTAAAGTTATCTGGATCTGCGCTTCCATCGCCTTGTTTATTTATGAGAGGGACAAAAACGGGAGGTGCAGGTGGTTGTACTGGAGGAGATGACACAGGTGAGCCTGGCAGTATGCAATAGCAGTGCCCCCGCCCCGGAGCTGAACAAGATCAGCAAAATGCTGGGAAGCACGCTCTTACGGCTAAGGGGGTACAGAATGTTATATGCAAAGAGAAAATCAAATACAGAACAAGTTCAGTTGTTTTCCTTCTTTTATGATGGAGAGAGAGAGGAGGGAGAGAGAGAGAGAGCACATGCAAGAGAGATCGGTGGTATCTAATTACGGGTTTATGCTATGAGACAGTATATTATTAGTTTATTTTGTTATGTGTAAGTAAAAAACATTTTAAATGAATATACTAATACCTATAAGTACTTGTGTGGTTGTGTTGGTTTGTCCTCTTGTGCACATGATACATAAAAGTAGAAATTCAAATGGTTCAAATTAATGTGTTGCTTTTTTTTTTAGAATGAATATTCGAAAGACATTTTTGGTCAACTTTGAAAGCACTTACTCTGTGTAGTTTGATATTTTGGAAACACTTTCGGGCCACTGGTTTTTAAAGATCACTGGCCCGACCATTGTTACCGCTGGCCCAGGAACGTTACTTTTGATTTGAAAAATAACAGTCACCAATTTACTCTTGAACCATTCTGATGCAAAAGTAAATTACAACTTTTATTTAAGTAATTGAGCTCTAGTTATAAAAATATTATCTTAAAATATTTTCTTATATTTATGTGCTCCTGTTTATTCACCATGCTGGTAACTGTAAGAGTCTACTTAATCTGACTGATATTAATATGAGGCTGTGATAGAGCTGGAATCTCTCCTTCTTTCTTCACTATAAGAAACTCTTGATCCTTAGATCTTTACTTTAGGAGCTCTCTTAAGGGCTAAGATGCTTTGTGAATAACTTTTACCAGGATCTAGTCTTAAACTTTAAAGGGAAATGTAGATGCAGCGTATTCCAGCTCCAGCTGTCTGTCACTGTGGCTGAAACTTTTCTCCCTTATGTTTTCGTCATGCCCTGCTGTCACTCTTGACTCTTTCTGTGAGTTTTTCCCTTTGAATGCTGATTTAAGCTCGGCTTTTGTCGAGATCTGATGGTTTTAAAACCGTTTTACCAAACGTGTTTTTTAATAGAGAAAACCTGCGCTAAGATCTGTGTGCGAGTGTACAATTCGAGAGTAGCGAGCGCACTCGCTGGAGTAACAGCAGTGAAGCCGTCGGCTGCCTTTCAACTGTGACGCGCACGAGCGCTTATGATACGTTGATGCTGAAGCAGTTATTAGCGCAACGTTTAAAAAAAAAATTACAGACAAAACACCGGTATGACAGGAAAGCGCTGTGAAATTGTGAACGTGTTACAGTCTATTTATTTTCAGGCAGTATTTTAACTGGCCCAAGGGGGCCAGCTGAACGTGCAATCAGCTGGCCTGGACTCTGTCAATCAGTCATCCGGGCCAGCGGGCCAGTTATAATCTCAAGCCCTGCATCAGTGACCCTTTGTGTCTAGACTTTAGATTGCAGGAGGCAGAATGAGTACTAGTACAAGTACCATATATTTATTATTTAAATTAAATCTAAAGTTTAGATTTAGAAAAATTCCTTGATGCTCAAAATGTCATGGAGGAGGACCCCCAGACCCCATTTTTTTATTGTGTCATTTTACAAGATGAATAATTTTAGTTGGCTCTTCTGCTGAAGTTCCAATAAGCTCTTCTGCTATTCTTTCCAAAGACTGTTGGACACAGATTTTGATTTTATTTCAAACTACTTTATTAAGTGTTTTTACTGGATTAAATACATGGATGGTTTGTTTGGAAGAGGGAGACACCTCTGCATATACTTCGGCTCCTGGTTAAACATTTTTAACAATGAAAACTGAAGGAGTCCTAACCTTAAAATACTGTAAGTTGAGCAACGTCCAACATTTCAGCCACAGTTTGGCTCACAGACCCTCCTGATGTCTTGTGTCTGAGCAGGAAGTGAGTCATAGAGACACTGATCTTTAACATGAAACTACAAGTTTTGAATTTGTTTCTGTTTTTTTTTTTTTTTTTTTTTTAAATCAAAGGATCTGTTTGTGCATAAGAGGAGGTAGCCTTTGTGGATCATTGAGGCCCCTTATAAACAATGAACACTTGAATATTTGAACACCTTGTTTGTTAAGTTTATTGTTTTCCTTCAGGCTCTGAGCACAAAGACACAACTAAAATGAAGTAAAAAGTTTCAAGAGCCCAATGACAAAAATGTGAGTAAAATCTGGGTCTTCCCACTTAATTTGAAAGGTCTACTTGTAATAAAGAGGGTTCAGTATGCCTGAGTACTCACCTGCCAGAAGAGGTATGACATCACAAAGTCATCAAGGACAGGGCTTTCTGACCCTTTGGCGACCCCGTGTCGAAATGCTCTGGCTGCCCCACCACTGTACCAGCCAGGGAAATAGTACCTGTGGAAGAATGTAAAACAGACCGGCCAGGTAAGAGGATATTTAAATTTGGAGATGATATTCAAGAGGGAAATTTAGTATGTTACCTTATTCTGAAAAACACATCTTCTGAAGCTGATTCTTCAAGCTGGAAGATGTGGTTGGGTGAAAACCACAAGCGGTCTCTCTCTCGGAAGAGACCAAAGAGGCTGCAGTACAGAGGTGATATACCTACAGCAGAAAGAGAATGAGAGAGCACATTGTGTTCTGTAAAGATGCACTCCATGTCATCAAGAAACATGTCCTTTAAACCAAGGTTAAATGTATCAGTGTTTCCCATCCAGTGACAGTATACTTTCATTGGAATGTGGTTCAGGGACACGCCTTATCTTTCCCATACAGAATAAAACATTGTGAATGACAAACTTATGTTAAAACAGGGTTTTGCCTTCCATGACATTTCATACTGCTCTGAGCTCTCGTCAAAGTCCTATGGCCATTTTCATGAAAAAAATACAGATTTTTGAGAGTAGCACAGTGAATTTGTCATTTCTGACTGCATTTACAGCATTACGCTGACTTGGTGCGGCGATGAATCGTAATCAAAAGGAAAAAGGCTTCAATGGAGAGCAGAGCGGCCACAGGCACAGGGTGTCCCTACCAATCATTTTTGGTACAACAAATAAAAATATAAGTTGCTGATCTGAGAGTGCACGTTCTCCAGAGGATTTCAAAAGCATCTCTGATCAACCTCAGAATTTTACAGAGCAAAACAAGTTTTCATGATTTAATGTCCCATTTTAGTTTTGTGTTTGTATCTCTGTCCAAATGCAAATGCTCTCTGTGTGTATCTCTCTCTGTCGCACGCAGCACACTGTTGGATTAATTTGTTTAATTATGTTTTATTTCATATTCAGCGCTCTCAAGTCTTAATTGCAGCGTGTTAACAATGTTTTTTAAAAGGCTTTCTGACCCATTGGCGACCCCATAGCTGCGTAGCCTTCAAAAAAAGCCTTCTGCACTTTGGAAATGCTAAAAAATAAAATATATTGATAAGATATGGAGGAAAACACTGTAAAAAAAAATGTAGTGCCACAATTAGTGACTGAGAGACTGAGGGAGAGAGAGAGAGATAAGAGTTCATAATTATACATTCAGGATTCAGACATTTCAAAAATCAAATTTTCTGGGTCTGAGATTTTGTGTTGAAAAAGTGATGTTTTTATGTTAAGAAAAATGTTTCCAACTGTTAGTAATAGTTCTGTAATGTGAGAGTAGAGCTTTATGTGCATCATTAGACCACCAAGTGAACAATGGAGGAGGTGACAGATATTTATCATTTGAATAAAACAAGATTCTCTATAGAAAAATTTATACAATTTTATGAGAAATTGGTGCTTAAGAATACAAGAAATCAAGTGTGGACCCGTTTGATTTCTATGACACTCGCTCAAATCCCCACCTGTGGGTCCCGAGGACCTTCTACACAAACCTGCAGCTATACTCTTTCACTGCACGCAGCAGCTTGACCTGCCCTAATATTTTCTGTTTCGCTCTTCCTGAATGTGGACTTTCTACATCAGCAGCATGTTTTCCAAAGTCAGCCAAATAACACAACTAGGATTTATTCCTTCTTTTTTTTTCCACCTGTGATACTGTTTTCACAACAGCATATGAGCTGTGTGTGGGCGAGGCTGGTTGTTGATGAAGTAAGTTGAAACGAGCCAAAACAAATGTGGCACAGATGTGGACAACAGTATTATCAAGCTGTGCTTAAAAGCTTTTAAAACAGCAGCGATAAAACAGGAGACGTTGCATCTCAATCAATACACATGCAGAAGGGACATACAAGAGGATGTCAATCTCTCTCTCTGTATGAGTTCCCTGCAGAGCCAGTGAGTAAAACCTGTGACAGCTGTGTGTTTCCCTGTCCCTACCTGTCCCCCTCCTGTGTCTCTCCAGCTCTGCCCAGGTGAAGCTACTTGTTGCACAATGAGGTGAACCTGGCCTCACTGTTTAAAAACCATGTGCTGGCTTCAGAAGGCGGAGGCTGTTGGACTGTGTGATTCGTCTCAGACAGGGATTTAGTTTGTTGTCTTGTTTGTTGATTTAGTCCTTAATAAACTTAATTCAGTCCTTAGTTAATTGTTGTTATTTATTGGGTTCTCTGTCTTGTTTTTGACCTTTAAAAAAGGTGATTCGTGCAATTTCTTGGTGTGGATTTGTGTATAGTTGTTAGTCCCATAGGGTCGCCTTTGGGTGGGGCGTAACACCCTACTTGTGAAAGGTGCGTGAGGGTAAAGTGTGAGTGAAAAAAAATGGATGGATTAAAAAATGAAAACAATTTGTTGAATTGGTGGCGCACTAAAATGAAGTCTTAGTGTTGAAACATTGTAGAAAAGAAAACCGTGTTTAAGGAAAGAGAAGTACATAATAGTGTAGGCTTTAGGGACCCAGATTGTTTTTACTACTAACACAGATGAACAAGAGGCCGATAAAGATTGTCCTAAATGTCAGTCGTGTTTGGTTTATCATTAAACACGCAACAAGCAACTTACATGCAGGTTAGTCTAGTCCCCGTCCCCATGGCCATGCTCTATGTATTAGCTACACAATGGTTTAATTGACTCTCAATTGTACCTCTGTGCAAAAGAAAGAACTGAGAATAGCAAAGCTACCATAATGTTGCCTATTCTTGCAAAGAGGCTTAAAAGTTAAACAAAGTAATAAGCACAGTGCACAAGCCAACGATTTATCTGTGGATAGTTTACGCTGTGGCCTCTTGATAACCTTATCTCGGTATTATGGTCTGACTTACAGCAAAAAACATGGATGGGGGTGTGCACATTTGGAGTACTTACTGCATGCCTTCGCTGCATCTATACACAACTCCTCAGCCACATAGTCGCCAGGTGGGTAGCTGAGGAAGCTGCAGTTTGCCTCTACTTGGTTGCTATGGTAGAAATGAAGTCTCAGAACATCAGCAGGACGTGTGGCTTGCAATTCTCGATGGGCTGTACCATTGTGGTGCACGGTGGGGCAGGTGTCGGTTTCCGTTTCCATGGTTGGCAGGGGTACCATCAACCACAGGCAACCTTCAAAGAAGTAAAATGCATAATATTAGCACAAGGAATGCGCTTTCTTTGCAGAGTGTGAAAAATTAACCACCCAGATTGGCTAGAGTACATGTTCTCAGCTGTTGCATAAACTGTTACCAATTCAAGCGTTACATAAAACTGAATTGCAGAGGGATCATTGTCTGGAAGGTTATAAAATCTGTAAATCTAATTCAAAAACAGGACTACTTTCAGAGTCACTTGTGAAATTCAGTCAGACAAGTCAAACTGCAAAAGCAGTTCCTCCGATGGCATCTTTCTGTGCAAGCTTAGTGCTTTAAAAGTTTAAAATGCATCACTTCCCCAGAACCTTTTTTATGTTTTAAAAGGACAAGAATCCATGTACAGTTCTAACAGAGAGATGTAAATATTTTGTACTTAGCAGAGGCAAAGCAGCTGCTATACAGCCCATCCGTTCTTCCCTTGCCACAAAGACAGTATTATATCAGACTGAAAAGCGTTATTTCACTGGGTGAAATAATAATAATTTTATGGGTGTTGTATTTCTTACATAAGCTTAAGAAAGAAGAAGAATGAACAACTATGATCACTCTCCCTATTTAATTTTGCACTATATAATATTGCACATTTTATTATTTTAGTAATGTTCTCTTTATTGTTTCTCCCTGTCTTATTGCTTTTTTCCCCCCTATCTTTAATGGTTTTCTTACAAAAGCCTCCTGTGGATACAGTAGGTGTTGAGAACTAGCATGTATGCTAAAACACTTAAAACAATGCATCTGGTTCGTCCAATGTAACTGTGATGTCCATGTCAAATAAAGTCTTAATAATATTTAATCTCTGAATCAAAGTTCATAGGATAATGCATCTTTTTTCAACAGATATAAAACAACTTTGTGTTTAAACACCCATTTGTTTTAAAAGTTACTAAATAGTGATCAGTTATCTTTGGCAGAGATGGAACATACAGCAGGAACAAATAATGTTGTCCAGGCACTTCAATAGTTGCACTTCTGTGGAAGAACGGCAAAAAAACCCAGAAAACCACAGAGTCTAGACATGTAAAGCTGTGGCTTCATTTCTACCCATGGCTCCTCCTTTATGTATTGCCTGGAATTGGGTTGAATCATCCTGCTGTTTTTAATGTTTCATACTCAATTAATAACGATGTATTTTTGTCATGAATAGGCCATTTTGGATCAGAAAGTTTTCATCGGAAACTCTCCCGTCTCCTTTGTCGCACTTGGAAGAATTACCAGTTTTTAAAAATGAGTTCTGAAGGCAACTTGTTTATTTCTTACTTGACATTGTTATCTGACCCTTCCTCTGTGAAATGTTTGAAAGTACTGCCGAATTTAAATAAACATTTCTCAAGAGCCCGAGCAAAACACGAAGTCTGAAAAAGGATGACTCAATTTACAACCTGGTAAAACTGAGAGGAAAAAAAAGCAGTAAATCATGTGATTTGAGGAAATGAAAATGATGATGCAAAGCATTTTCGCTTTGTAATTGACTTTCTGTTGATTATTATAAATTGTTGCCAGTTAATTTTCTGTCACCTTCCACATCAAGACTGACTGAATCAGCTCCTGTATGATGTGTGATGTGTGGGCAGAGACACGCTGAACAGAAAAATGTATATGCAGTTGGATATATTGACCATGTACTATGTAAAAGAAGAACTCTCTCTCACACACACACACACACACACACACACACACACACACACACACACACACACACACACACACACACACACACACACACACACACACACACACACACACACCTCTCTCAATAAGCTGCAGGAGCATTGAAAGAGTAGGCTCAGTTTGCATATTCATGTTTTAAATAACATACCTTCAACTTTTAACTTTTAATCATCTGGAAAATACACAAATATAATTTGGACATTTCAGGACAGTCAGTGAAATCCAGTCTGGACAAAGTTTCATGCTCACATAAGAGCTTGTTGTGTAAATGAACACATTATAAAACAACACTTCGTTACATTTCTTCTTCTTCTTCTTCTCCTGCACAACAGATTCACCACCAAGGCCCTGTCTTGTGTGCTACAGTAAAGCCAGCGTTAAAAGCAGCAATAGATTAAGTTAATGCTAGCAGCTTCAAACACCCAGCTTTACATGGGTTCACGTTGACTGCCCCCCCCTCCTCCCGTAACAACAAGAACATGCAATGTATGTCAGCGACTTACCCCCCCGACGCCACAGCTTCATGTTTGATCACTTTGAGATAAACACACAAGGGGTAAAGCTGTCAAATATTAGCAGTGAGTTTGAACACTTACTTTATGATGGATGAGCCAGACGTCCAGCTAGCTAGCTAACTGGCTAGCTTGCTGCTAGCTTCGTAGGCCAGCGCTGCAGCACAGCAGGACGAGCGTTCACACTTTGGACAGAAACGCCCCAGAGATCTTCACTTCTGTCTTTTTTTTTAAAAGATCTCCACTTCAAATAACTCACCCCGGAGATTAAAAAAAAAAAAACGAGCAACTTCTTTTTTTTTTTTTTTTAATGGCTGAAATACATCTTGGAAAATAATAGTCGATTACATGTTGCACATCATCTGGGAAAGCTTCTTCGTTGTCTCTCTCTTGTGTTGAGCCTGGAGCTGCACATCTCTCACTCCGGGAGGAACTTTAGCTGTCTAGTTTGTCAATCTTGTAACTTAAGCTAATGCTAGCTAAAAAAAAAAAAAACAACAAAAAAAAACGACGCAGGGCTCTGATGTGAACACGAAATTCACATGCTGGCAAACTTCTTCTGTGTGCTTCGACTTGTGGCTGCAGTAATTGCGACGAGAGTTAAATTACTGACATCTTGAAAACACCTATATCTCTGACAAAGCTAGCCAGAATCGCCAGTGACAGCTACAGCGCAGCCGAAACCGCAGCTCCGAGTCGGTCAACAAAAACCAGCCTCTCCCACCATACCAGTGCTGCGTTCACTGACTATCGGAAATGTCATAACTTCTCCAATTGTATAACTATCCCAAATCTAGACATGAAACATTCATAACACCTGCCTTCACAGAGGGACAGTGGGATCTTTTTGAGCCATTTAATATATTTTAAACAGTTTTATTAGCAAAGCGCACAAAAAAAAATCACATTTTAACAAGTTTTGCAAACTATTATATGACTTTTTGTAGGATTCCAGGAAAAGTAAACTGTGTTACCCTTACATTTAAAAAAAAATAACTGGTGATAAACAAGTGTCTGTTTCATAGTCTGCATAATGTCTTCATAGACATATCTTCATGATAGGGTATAAGCCTGGTATCACTTGTTAATTTGGGAAGAGGCAAAGTCTACAAATTGGGATTATCTGAGCTACCAGCTAAACTATTTAAATTCAACAAATATGTTGTCTTTTAACAATAAAAAACAAGGTTGGTAGAGATCTGAATAATGATACTAAATACAACAACAAAAAGAATCATATTACGTTCTACTCTTTTATGTCCCGTCGTTTTTTCATTGGTCTTTGTGTTTTATTGACTGTTGTTACATTGTGGTTTGATCATTCAGCACTTTGGTCAATCTTTGTTGTTTTTAAATGTGCTTTATAAATTGGATTGGATTCACTGATCTCACAACATGTCCCAACAAGCTCTCTTGCATAAACTTTCATGTACAATTTGATTTCTTAAAGTAACATCTTACATTGGATCATCAGCTCAGTCTTAAACGATGAGTCCCATCCTCTTTCAGTTCCAAAGTGCAGAACAAAGCGCTATAGGAACAGCTTTGTCCCAGCAGCCATTATAGAGTGGAACAAGTCATAGTGTGTGTGTGTATCGTGTTTTTCCTCTTTGCTGCTTGATGTGGTCCTTGTAATTTCATAAAGGTCTTGCATGGAGGGACAGAGAGATAGCAGGCTGGGAAGCTGCTGTCATGCTTCTCAGTGGTTCTTTATTCATTTACTATTTATTCTTTTATACAGATAAACTTGTTTTATTAATTGTACGATTGTTACCTGCACACGTTATGCACCTCAGCACTTTTACCCATGTACTGTTCATTTGCACTTTGTATGTGTTATATATTGTCTGTGTTGTATTAAGTGCCTCTCCCTGCAACCAAATCTACCTACGGGTATAAATAAAGTAACCTGAGCCTTCATGGTGATCTGATCCAGTTTTGACACTGGGATTTTGAAGGTTACAAGGTGACCCTGAAAGGTTGCGTCTTGACCTTGAATCAGCCTGCTTTAGTCAACAAACCAGTAATCTAACCATCACACACCCACAGAGACTACAATTGACCACTTGTTGCACAGATTACAGCAGATGTTCTCAAGGCAGCAGACAGAAGACAATACAATTATTTCCTATTCAACGAAATGTCAAAAAGTCTAATTTACTTGAAAGATTTATGATGTTACACTTTTTCTCAAAGTTTTGTTAGGCTGTGATTTGCTCTCCCTTTATTTTTTAAGTCATGACCACTTTTTACTTCATATATTGATTAAACAACGTACATTCTCTTAATTTGATTGAAAACATATTAGGGACTGTAAATAGATTATGTATGCTCAGTTGTCAATCACAGACGACTGACAGCAATGTTAATATTGAATACAGACATGAAACAATGATTTTGTTTTACGTAAAAGGAATAACTGGCTATGGGGGGGATGAAAGTTAAAGAAACACTAACACTGTTCTTCTTTCATCATGTGATGGTCCTGTTGAATGCGGTTGTGACCAGCTGAAGAAACCCTTTGAGGGCCTCTAACTACGACAGGAAGGGAACACAAATTGATATCCTGTCAAAAGTCTTAAAAGTTAAAAGAGGAATCAATTGATTGGACAAAACTAAGTGTTCACATTATCATTACATGCAATAACAACCATGAGCAGTAAAGAAAGGTTGGTTATCTTCACTCCTGAAGGAAGACTACTCAAGATGTTGGAAACTGGCTTAAGAGATGACTATACTTCAGCAAACCTAGGTCAGGTAGGTCACTCATGTGGGTAATAAGGCACTGCCGGTTCAGATCAAAGGTGGTCAAGTTTGAAGTCAAGGCTCTAGCTGGCCTGCCTATCAAGAGCACCACCATTGTTGATACACTGTTGGACAATAGATATGATTTATGGTAAGAAGTTTCTTTGAGACTTTGCAGCTTATCAGCACCTAAATCTATGCACAGTGAGAACATGCTAACATGTTTTTTTTTAGCAGAACACACACACACACACACACACACACACACACACACACACACACACACACACACACACACACACACACACACACACACATTATCACCATCATCGTCATCACATGGTAACATGCTAATCAGGAAGCAACACAAAATTCTACTGAAGTTCGTGGGAACATCAGCGTTTCCATTATTAGTCACAGGTGCAAGAGGACATGCACGTAGGTTACCAAAGACAGAAGTCTTCATCATCTAGGGACAATGCATATGTCTTACACTCATTCATGCAAATTGACCCATTAGCTGTTGACATTATTCTCAGCTGAACCAAAGTGGCTGAACGTCCGTCCTACATTGGTGTCTACTGTAAGTATTTCTTAGATTGAGCCAGTCACAAACTAAAAAACAGCTGAAATGAAGTCAAATTTCTTTAATAGCGTAAGGCTTAAGCTAGCATGCTAACAAAATAGATCAAAAATAGCTGCAAGGCAAACATTTGTATCCCTTGGTGGAACCCGTGGACGAGCACCTGATACCAACACTCTGTGTGAGGAATGAAGGCAGGGGAGTCCTCGGGCTTTCAGGTGAAACTTGTATTTGCTACAGCACAGACACAGACACAGAGAAATAAGACACACACACACATACACACATAAAATCACGCACACACATAGAGGAGCAGCAGAGTCTGCTGTGCTCCGACTTTACCCTCCAGTGGATCTACAACAGCATCACAGCCGGGTTGCCCCTGGCAGAGAGACGGGAGAGGGAGAAAAACGACACAATATGAGAGGGGGGAGGGAAATAGAGGAAGATGGACAAGTGGAGGAACCGAGAGAGACAACTGAAAAGAAATAAGAGTGGGAAGTGGAGAAAAAAAAGGAAGTGGAGGGCAGAGAGGTGAGTAAACCAGCTGTCTTTCATCTAGCTCATCATTCAACAGTTGGGTCTGAACTTCATAAAGATCCTCTTCAGTTCTCAAGTTGTTTTTTTAATGAATCGAGAAAAGGTTATGAAAACTTTCCCTTTGAATTGTATCACTACAAATATGCATATCCCTTAACACATGGTCTATTATTATCATAAATAAAGACAAAGAAATCCCTCATTATTATAATGTTGCCTCCCTTTGTTGAAACACTTATTATTTGTTGCAGGCAGAGTTTTGTTTTTTTACTCCCCAAAGTGTATTTCGACTTTTGTTGATTTGTTGTTATTCTGCCAGCAGTTGTACTTTCAAACTGTGTTTACATGTTAGGAAATAGGCTTGTTAGAGGAGAAGATTAATACCACTGTAACTTACATGTATACTATTGGGTCAGAAGGTTATGCGCATATTGTAGCATGTAGGCTAAAGGCAGTGGGGTGGAGCTGATGTAGTTCCTTCTTGAACCACAAAGTTTCATTTTGACATTTCTGTTAAAAAGAAAGTTAAATGGGTGACAATTAGGGGAGGTAATATACATTTTTCCGAGTGGAGGCTTTGGCTAAGTGGTAGCGTCAGTTGTCTTTAAACGAAAAGGTCTGGGGCTCGAAGACCAACGTCCTGCAGCGTCCTTGGCCAAGACACTGAACATCAAATTGCTCACACCAGCGTGTGAATGTGGTGTGATGGTGTAAAGGTGACATGCGGTGTAAACGTGCTTTAAGTAGTCAGAGACTAGAAAAGTGCTTTACAAGCTGAAGTCCATTAACTATTTATTCCATTTACAAGCCAGGCCTGAGAACCTGCTTAGCTCTCGAAATACTAATAGAGGAAACAACTATGGCTCTGTCTAAAGGGAACAAAACTACCATCACTATCACACCAGAATCATATCATGGTTGTTCAAAATATTTATAAACAGAAAAGAAGTTTTGGCCAACTGATTTCTTTATGCTATGCAGAGCCACTTGTCTTTTGGATTCAACTCCAAAACATTTACACGTTAATGAAAAAAGTGCTATATAAATAAACTTTACACTTACTTTACTTACTCAATAATTGATGTTATTGTTTCACACTTGGAAGCAAAAAAAAGTGAAAACCTCATCCCTCAGATCCCACCCCAATGTCAAAGTATTTTTTGAACGATTACAAAATAATTTATAGCTAACATCATGCGCACTGTGCCGTGAGCTTTTATCACACAAATGGTCATGGAAGACAATGGGTGTTTTCTCAAAAAGATGTCTTAACGTATTCCTTTTAAAACGTTCTTTAAAAGGTTTCAAATCCTGTATCGCTGGTGTGTGACATTTACCTTTCTTGGATCATGGTCCCTTGCAGATAACAACCTCATGAAGGTGGCAAAAAAAGTGCATTTATAAGATTCACCACTAGATAGAGCTGTGTGAACATAAGTCTCACAGAGAGGAAAATTGAGAGGAATGGAGTCAACAAAGAACAGAGTAAAGGAGCATGAGAAAAAGAGTGATGACCAGAGCAAAAAAAAAGAAAAAAAAAGAAATAAGAGAGGCGGAAATGCTTTTATTTTGGTCCCTGGTGGTTTAAACAGAGTCTCTAAAGGCTCCCCAAGCCTCAAACTCACCACCTGCGCCTCTCCCTCTCCAGGCCAAACACTCGCACATGCACACATACAGACAGGCACACTTAAACAAGCACACCCACACAATCTCAGAAAGAGGGCATTACCTTGAGTTCACCACTTAACAAAGCAGATAAGGCTCATAAATAAAGTGCTCAAGGATAAGCAAATTTTTTCCTTTTTTTTTCCGATTATAAAGTGATTATTTGGAATATGAATAGTGAAGATGGTAGATGTGCATTTACATCTTACTTGTTGAAAGCATAGCAGTGGGAGAAAAGCTTTGCAGTGTGGAAATAAAGAAGTAATTTCTGATTTTGTTTTACATTTCAGGTGTTTAATATGGTGATGATATGAAACATTTGACCATAAATCTCATTGTTGGTAGCTTTGGAAATTGCAGTCCATCATATGAAAACAGCTGCTTGACCTCATTTTCTCAGTAACACTTCAGATTATCAAAACTACATTCTTGCATGTTGATGTAAACAATAAAAGATAAAACATACTCTCAGCTGTTCAAAATAACACAAAGTTGTAATATAGTACATAGCTCGGCCAAGCAGCGACCGGCAGTGAGTGAGAGATTGGCGTCCTTGTGTTGGCGTTTTTTTTGTGTGTTTTAACCTGATGTAGTGTCCGAAATTTTGCATTATTTCATAGATGTTTAAAAGCTACAATCTTTTTACTGTTTTTCTTGTTGAGTTTGCGCCTCAGTAATCTACAGTATGAATACTATTTCTACTCCCAAAACATGGGCTTGTTCATTGAGCTTCAATTTCACCCAATTACGTAGAAAATATCGCTGCATAGTGAAAAAAAAAATAATACCCTCAATAGATGTTACCATTTTGTAGGGTTTCTAACAGCACTGAGCCTATCAATGTTCAGCATATTAAGCTTTCTTTATTCAATAGTCATGGTGAGATGTCCATAAATTATACATAGCATTACCATTTCTTTTCGTGCTTCTGTTCAAAAGCACAAAGTGACCATAAAATGACAGTTGTAAATGCGTAACACCCTAATCCTTATCCTTATCTGTTGAACCTGTGATGACTTTACCTTAAGTCACCCAGCAGCCAAAGCAGCACTATGGATGTGTGTGAAGATTTTACCTCATAGTCAGAAATGCAGAATTTTGTCAATTATGCTGACTAGACAAAAAAAAACCTTTAAAGACAGGAAAATGAATAAAAAAAATAAAAAAGTGTGAGCAGTCGGCTGAGTTAACTCTGCAGATCAATCAAATATAACAAATATACAACATGTACAGTAGATCAGATATGGTATGCTTTTAACAATGTGGAGACAAAGTGGAGTTGCCATCCTGTTAAATAGATCAGTCTACTTCAGACAAAACAGTTAATGATAATGAGGGTAGATATGTCATGATAATAGGGACAATTGGAGGTACCAAAACAACACTGCTCAACATAAACGCCCTGAATGAAGGCCGTGCAGAGTTCTCTAAAAGAATTGCATCTTTAATAGTTGACTAGGCAGAGGGAACAATTTGAATGGGCAGAGACTTTAATTGTATTCTGAGCCGATCTTTGGATAGGCTCCCAGCTGTGGCAGGCCCTAAAGATCTAACAGACTGTTGTCAATGAAGGATGAATACGGCTTGGTGGATATCTGTTGTCACTTTCATCCCCGAGAAAACGAGTTTACTTTTGTGTCACAAGTGCATAGCAGCTATTCTAGGCTGGATTGGTTCTTGATATCTGGAATAGACATTTATAAGATTAGTGAATGCAATAAAGAACCAATTACATTCTCAGACCAAGCCCCTGTCACCTTGAAGATAAAGAGGACCAGTGGTATTGGAGACTTAATGCTTCACTATTAAACGATGAAGCAATTCAAACCAGAAACGCGCAAAGATTTTACAGCCTATCTTGTCACAAATGACAACAACACAACTTCTTTTCGATTCTCTGAGAGGGAGCCTAGCTGGCGATGAGTTGAAACATAACAAGTATTTCATCAAGATTTAAAAAAGAAAAGACTAGCTCAACAAGTTGAAAGAGAAATTATGAGATTGGAAAGAGAACACCAACAGTCAAAAAAGCAGGGAAGACTTTTTAAAAGAAAGAAAATTGGATAAATTGTTAACCTACAAAGCAGAGGGTGTATTGAGATATACAAATAGAAAATACTACAAACTGGGCAACAGAGCAATTCGGTTTGCTGGCTTTCCAGATGCATAAAGCACAATCTAACAAGGAAGTGCACAAGATAAAAAGACCACGTAGTAATAAGATGTTATCCTAACCAAAAGATATTACAAAGGCATTTGTCTTACCATCTAGAGTTGTATGACTCTCACAAGCTAGAAAAACATGGAATCATTTTTCAACACAATTCAATTGGCAAGATTATCAGCAGATGAGGCTGATATGATTCCATCTCCTATTACAAAAGATATATCAAACTCAAAAATAATGAATTTCCAGGTGTAGATGGTTCCCAAGAGAGTATTGTAAAGCCTTTGTACACACTCACCCCAG